CAGGAACTCACTCGTTTGGTTTCATCTTTTTAGCCTTCAGAAATTCCCTTCTCAGATCCCCCTTCAGAGGCCCTCCTGCCTCCCCTGATCCCTACTACTGGCTGACTTTTGTTTACCATACCCAGTTTTCAGAGAAGTAGTTCTATCCTCCTGTTTTATAGGGGCCTTTAGGAAACTTCAGCTCAAATCTTGGAGTGACTTGATTCTAATAACTGAAGCATCAGTGTTGTTCTTTATTTCTATTTGTATACCAACTAGAAACATATATTGAATCTCTGTTTTAAAAAAGCTTCAGTAAACAGGTTCAGTATCTTGAGGATAACTGCAACAAGACATAGGATGAGACTGAGTATCATGGAGACTCTGGAGTTACCCTTGAAAATTACACATACTCTTTGTGCCTGGTTTGACTGTTATCAAAATACAGTGCTGACTTTACTTTTATTTAAGGAAGTAGCTTTATGAAACTACCCAAGCATAATTTGATTTGTATAGTAAATAGAAGAAGGAAAGGGATACTACCTGGAAAAATGCACTTTCTTACAAATCATTCTATCTAGATAGAGTTAATAGAAGAATCTGGAAGAAGTGCTTCTAATTATCAGAGTCTACAATGCCTGCCAATCTTATTTGTTTAATAAGACAGATAATAACAATATGTTGATATCTTTCATGTAAATCACATGAAAAAAATTGTGTACAGTCAGTCCTTACAGTAAGAAAAGAACATTGAAAAATCTTGTTCCCAGCCTTCACTTAGCCTGATCCTTTCATTTGGGGAAATCTCTGAGTCTAAACACCAAAATATCTAGTGTATTTTGGTTGGGAGGGGTATTGTGGTATGGTTGTTATAATTTGCTTGGGGTTTTTGTCGTCTGCTTGAGTTTCCTACCTTCTACCAACTAACTAATCTCAAAATAATTAGTAAGTAACACCGTAAATAAAGTGATTGTGTTCTTGGAGAGCTTCTGTGATTTGGTCACCAGTTGGGCCTGTATGTTGCTCACAGGACTGAATTGGTACATGTTTCTTTAACTCCCTTGTTCTTAATAACCATTTCAAACAAGTAAGCTGAGAACACTAACATTTTATTTACTTATATTTCTAGGTTAGCTACAGTTTAAATTTTTGTCTTACAACTTGTGACTTTCATGTTAAGGACAGACAGCAAGGTACATTTACTACAGATTTAAACACACATCACCATCCTTTTTGGGAACACACAACTAAACACATAAACACACCTACATATAAAGATATATATGTACACATGTCAATATGAATATCCACACATAATTAGTAATGTTAATATCACAGGCCCCCTCCCTACTATGTGCTTACTATGTTTGCATGCTTTGCCTTCTGGCATCATTGTAGAAACAGTTGGCTATTGATTAGGTACTCATGAGAGGGGGAAAATGAGTTAATAGAGGTTTTAGGTACATGTTCATAAGTGGAAGCTTCATTAAGTCTGGTGTTTTCTCCCCATTATCATTTATCAATGTGATCCCAACACATTTGCCCCTTCCAGTCTCATAACATAATGTGAAAACTTGTTCATAGGTCAAGGAATAAAATTATTTAGAAAGACAATAAGTCACTGAACCTTTACCAATTTCTGTCACAAAAAAAAAAAAAAAGAAAGAAAAAGAAAAAAATGACACAGCTCAGGGGGACTAAAAAGGCACAAAAGGTGAACCTGGAATTGTGCAGCTTAAAACATTGTCACTGTCCTGTAGCTTAAGAGTCATTATGAACACAAGCCTAGAATATAAAGAATAGTGTGTGTAAGGCAACAGCACTGGACAAAAGACTGAGCAAGCAGACACTGCAATCACAGATGGCAGAAGAACTACTCAAGCCCACACTCTAATGAGGTGTCAGGGAAGGGCCCCAGGCTGCTAGGAAACCACCTCATTCTTGCATTAGGAATGAGAAAGCCAATGAGCCAAGCAGATCCAGAGGCTGATGACAAATACCAGAGTCTGTAAACAGCACTTGTGTGTTGATATATGTGCTTTGTAAGGGTATCTATCTCCTCTCACAGAAATGTGTCTATATATGTGTGTGAGAGAGAGAATTTGTATCACATTATATTACATGCTGACTAACAATTCTTAGAATAATTTGACCACTCAGTGATAATAATTGCCATAACTAACTTGCTATTTAAATATTAGGTATTTTTCTAACTTACATACTTTTGAATTAGAGAATGATTTCTTAAAATTCTGTCAAAGCCTATCTGTGAAGTGTAACCATGACACTGTCCAGAAATAACATTTGACACTGTTCCCATGGAGTTCATTTCCCTGTCTTCTCGCAGACAGGTCTGCAGAACCATCAGGCCTGTCTCCTCTTGATTCATTTCTGGTCTTTTTCATTGTCTATAGTCATGTAGACTCTGAGCAATGTCAGCCTGGAATCTTCGATGAACTGACAAGGTCAATGTCGCTATCAATCTTGACTACCATCTTTAGGTATCTAAAGTTGGAGAATAGAAGTTGGCCCTGGAATTTTTTAAAATAGGAGAATACTAAGAAAATTTTTGCAGTTCTTCATGGCTGCTCATTTGGATAGTCTAGCACATGGGCAAGAAGATGGCTGCTACTTCAAGGCTATCCTGGGCTATATAAAGTTTTGGGCAAGATAAAAGAAAATAAAAAGATTTTTCCTTATAAATTTGCTGTGCTTCTTATATGTGGAAGTAGGAGCCTAACATAAGCTTTAACCTAGGGAGACTTAGGTCAGAACTGGACAAACATTAGTAATAAGGTCCAGGGCCCAAGGCTCTGCATCTTTTTGACTGGCAATGTAAAGTTCTACCTGTTGAGTCAGAGGCCCATTCAAATCTACACTGAAATAGATGTCACTCCATGTTCCAGTAAGGTCAAAGCCAGCATTAGCAAAGGTCAAGTCAGGTTTTTAATCTTACTTATTTCTTATTGATGTAACAGTATATCTTATATTTAGTTTATAAGAGACTTGTTTCTCATAGATCTGGAGGCTGGTAAATCCACCATAAAGGAGCAGGTATCCCATGCCAAGGGAGCGTCTTCTAGCTGCACATGACACAGACCAAAAGGGCAAAAGGGAGAAACCACAGAGAAGCCTCTTCTGTAAGAGCTATTGTCTCACTCACAGGGGAGGAGCCTCAGACAGTCATACCACAAAGGTTCCACCTCAAACACTGCACTGGAGATGAATACACTCAGACCACAGGAGTTTGCCAATGTGCCTGATTTCTAGACCCATTTTGGTTTCCTTTCTGGAAATAAAACTGTAAAGGTCACTCCGTCTTCTGAATATTTTAAGAATAAGCAGTTTTTCACATTTTGCAGACTAAGCCAGATGGATGATTTGGAATAGGGAGTCTCCATATTTAGATGGCCAAGCTGGTAGTGAAGGGAGCCCAAAACATAAGTTATTTTTAGTTCTTGGAATTCTAGACTAGATCTGGGCAGCTCAGCGAGGAATTCTTGGAACATACATATTATTAATATATATGTATATTATGTGTATCACAGTATATCACACACACGCACGTGTGCGCGCACACACACACACACACATAAAGTTTCTCTAAAGCCAAAGTTGAAGGGTAGGAGGAAGTTCAGACAGTAAAATAATAGACCATGAGAGAGGGTGTTAGAGAAGAGTATATGAGGTTTAAAGCAAAGCACACCAGCCTGACACTCTGCTATAGTTAGTGCCTCTCTACTGTAGTCGCCACCCTCGCTCTGCCCACTCCAACACCTGTGCTTTGACACATCCAAGTCAGAACTGTTTCACCCTGGATTCCAGAGCATTTAGGAAAGTTGAAAGAGAAGAAAACAGCAATGGGAATCTGATGGGCCATGTGCCTGTAAACTCTTACGTTATATGTGATTATGTCCATAGCAACACACATTTTAATCAGAGAAATACAGATTAAAACAAAGAGAGTACCAGAGGACACAATATCTATGGAGTAATGATTAAAGAGCCCCACCCTCATCCCTGTTCATGGCTTTAAAGTAGAGAGAGCCCCACATCATAGCAATTTGGCGACATCTCTCCTGCGTTTGTTGCACACTCAGCATATCCTCTCCCACCCAGGATGTAAGTGACTTGTAGCCTTGATGTCCACCCCATTCACTGTGTGCCTGTGAGTAAGTGGGGAAATACATGATTCCCAATGGCTGTAGGCAACCTTAGGTTAAAGGATAAAATATAAGAAGACTGACCCAATCAACACAAGAAAAAAAGGATACATTCTCATTCTGTATTAGAGTCTATGTGTCTATGTTTTTATCTTTAAGAACTAAGTACATAGAGGAATAAAGCCAATTTCCAGTTATAGCTATCTAGTCAGATATAGCTCAGCACAAGAATCAATGATCTTAATGTGATCCAGTCTGTAAAAGCCACATTGAATTAGCTAAAAGGTCTCACTCACTTTAACCACTCTGTGTCTAAAATGCTGAATCATGCCACAGTGTCTAGATCTGCGTTACACAAAATAATCAATATTAACGCAATCAGACCTTCTACTGGAACAACTTTAAATGCCCTTCAAGATTACTTCTCAGAAATTTCCATCACTGTGATTCAGCATGGCTTCACATGTTGATATGCTAATTTTTACAGGAAAAACATCAGAAGGAAAAGCACCTGCTTGGTTCAGAGATTACAAACTATGACTTCAATGAACTACAACTTTAGAGGATCCCCCGCAGTGCAGTGCAATCTATAATAAAGCTAAAGCCCCAGATATAACCAAGGTCACATTTCTACCCTTCTCCTTTCTCCTGATCTTAGAATATCAGATGCTAGCCTATCCAGGTGCCTGTTGATGAGAGTGAGCAGGTTAATGCTTCCTAAAGAAACTATTCATTGTGTGATGCCATCTGTTTTTAACAAAAGATGACTGTATTTGACTTTTCCAACTGCATTTCGAATTGTGTACTCTTCCCACCTTGAAAGAAATGCCTAATGGTTCCTCTTAACTTGAATTTCAGAACACAATAGATGTGGCTCTTCAGATGTGATCTCCTGTACCAAGTGCCTCCAGCTGGGTCCAGAGTGCGGATGGTGTGTTCACGAGGTGTGCTTTTTTTTGTTTTTGTTGTTTTTGTTTGTTGCTGCTGCTGCTGCCTTTTGAGATTTTCTCATCCTTAACTTTCTCTCTAGCCTGACTTCATTCTCTCAATATTTTACACTTTAAAGATGCATCAGGAACAAGAAAGATAACCCTGAGCATCAGGAAAATTTTATTTGGTTTTCTGTGGAAAAGCAGCTTATTTGAATGAATATAAAATCAAGTATAGCATTTTTATTAGAAAAAGTGTGAGAATTTTGACATGAACTGCAAACCATTTTATGTTTTCCATCTGTTCTGTGAAAAAAGTTGGCAAATATATATAATAAATTTTGATAGTTCAGTAGACTTTGATATAAGATTCTTGCTGCAACTTGCAGCACAAAGTTATATATCCAAGTTTGATTGCTTTCTTAATACTTTCTTATCAAAGAAAAGCAGAATAATTCATTGGTATGTTTTACTTGTTTTTATATGAACTACTAAGAACTCAGTGATTTCCTAACATTGTATAGCAACTTTTGCTTTCTTATGGAAAATGTGATGCCTTTATTGTTACTGAAGTACTATGTATATTTAAATCCTGTACAGTGGAAAATAATTCAATGCTATTGTTAAAAGTTAATGTTTTTTATTCTGTGTAGAGAAACAAATTCCAACAAAATTCTTAGAAAAAATTACAATGACTTCTTTTTGTCCTGCTCTAAAGTTGTTTTATGAGGTTTTTTAAAATCAGTCATCTTAAATCAGAGAGAGGTACTTACATATGATTTTTTTCCTAAGGTGTCATCTGCTAAAATGGAATCTCTTTGTGAGAATGCCTGGGTAGCTTTGTAGTTACTTATGCAACTCCTGGGAATTGTAATTAATAGGCTTTCAGACTTCTGTCTGGCATGGACATGAATCTCTAGTTTTACTTCCTCTAATTTAGCTCAACAACGAAACTCCATAATACTGTCACCTCTTCTTATTCCCCGCTCTTCATGCATGAAGCAGGAAGACAAAGACAGTTGAAAAGGAGCTGGGAGGATGGACACAGCTCTTTTCTATGAAACAATCAGGGCACAAGCACAGAAAGGGTTCAGATACAGGAGCCTCATCTGAAAGTTACCTCTCCTGCTGACAGTCTCATGTTCTGTGTGTTCTGGGCTAACATCACGGGGGAAAAAAAATCAGACATCATTAATTAACAAGGAAGTACTTTGTCACAACTCATCAAGTCAGGCAATGTCACAAAAAGGAAGATTCCAGAATTTCTTAGTTCAAGCTCTATCATCTAAAGACAAGACAGAATTCTTGCCATTCTCTGAACAACCCTTTATCTCACTCATCTCTACAGCCTTGAATGTGGAGATGACTTGTAGGGTTCTCTATCAGGGATGTTTTGTGGCCTGGTTTTCCTGACCCTAAGCCAGTAATCCACTCATCACTAAAGAAGACACTTAGAGCCCTGCTCTTTGTGCCAAGTCAACTTCAGCTGCTGAGTGCTTCAGTGGGAGTTGTTGTGGGGAGCTTTCTGAAATATGCTTCAAAGCCTAGTTGTCAATCAAGTGTGAAGTTGGGTCCCAGAGAGACTACTCCTCTCACAGCTGTGATTGGCACAAAAGGGGAGAAAAAAGACACCTCTGAAAATATCCATCTGTCTGGTCACAGAAGCAGGGACTTGGGGGTTGTGCCAAGGTATGGGGATTCAGAAGGAAGAAAGCCAATGCAGGTGAGGTGCTGATGAGACAAAGGAAATCTATATCAACTATTGCACTTGCAAACAGAGATGGACCTTGAGGAAAATATTTAAAATTTGCAAAGTTATTCTTGTCTACATACCACAGTATAAGATAGTATATACAGTTTAGGAAGATCAGGCTCTGAAGGGACACCAAGTTGAATTTAAACCCTAGTTCCAACAGTTTCTAACTATAAACTATATAATCTATGTGAACTATGTAAACCATGTTGTATCATCCCTTTAAATCACTTTTCCTATCTCTAAAATGGAAATACTGATTGTATCCACCCATACTTTAACTAATATATATATAAAATATATATTATATATACATACATACACACACATTATATATATGTATATATATTATATATATATACATACACACATTATATATATATGTATATATATATATATATATATAAAATAAAGTAACATATAATATAGGGCATTGCTTGAGACATAGGAGTTGTTTCTGTAGGTACTTCACTTACGTTTAAGGAGCTAGGGAGATGGCAAAGTGCTTGCTGTACAAGCACAAGGACCTCAGTTAGAACCCCCATTACCCATATCAAAGCCAGGTATAGTGGCACACATATGTAACCCCAATATTGGGAAGTGAAGACAGACATATCCCTAAGGCTTCTGGCAAGACAGTCTAGTTGAAATGGCAATCACCAGATTCAGTAAAAGACCATATCTCAAAAACTGAGGTGGAGACATAATGGGGGAAAAAAAAAAACATCTAAACATCAACTTCTGGTCTCTACATGTACTTGTGTGAGCAAACACAGTTACATACACATGTATACACCACACACACACTAATAAAACAAAATTTATAAAAACACACAATCTCTCAGGATACAATCTTTCCCATTGTTCATATTATTAAGAGAAGGAACCATGCAATCCCTGTAGGCTGGCCTGATATCATCAAAAGGTAAGATCACCCATCACATAGACACAGATACAGATGGTGACCCTGGTTTCTCAATCAGAAAAGAAGGGGGCAAGAGAAGGGTATAGGAGGTTTTTCCTGATCATGACGATAAAAAATGAAAAACAGCTTAACAAACCTGGCTTGTATAATTTTCAAAGCTGTTCAAAGTACCACCACCCCCAAGACTCAGGGAGTAAGTACCCCAGAATGGATGGTGGAAAAGATGTAAGAACTGGAAGGTAAGGCTAAGAAATGTATCTGCTAGGAATGATGAAGCCATTGAACTCTTAGACTCACAGAAGCTGTGGCTACCTGCACTGGGCCTGCATAAAACTGGTCTTGTCAACGATTGGTTATGGATGGAAGAGAGGTTCAAAGAACCCTTCCCTCCCTACCAAAATATTAGCAACTGAAACATCCTGGGAGAGGTGTAGTCATTGTCTTTAGTTGTGAACTGAATGGTGAGTCTACCAGGCTTTAGTAGATAATTCCAAACATATGAACACACAGATAACCCTGGGTAAACAGTAGGTCAAAAAACAAAGCAAAATAAATAAACTTGAATGCAGGGGGTGGGGAGCTTTGAGCTTTGTTGGGAGGAGGAGTCATTATTGGTTCAGGGAGATAAAGGGTTGGTTAATAATATTCATCAGAAAGTATTATATGGATGTGTAAAGTTGTCAAAATATTAATAAAAATCCTGCCTCAAAAATCACTATGAATGTAGACAGTATAAGTCAATCTGCTTGTATTTTTTTTTAACTTTTTTATTATTTAAATTTTTAAAAACTTAAAAACAATCTTATTTTACATACCAATTCTAGTTCCCTCTCTCTCCCATCCTCCCACTCCCCATTCCACCTGCCATCCTCCACTCCTCAGAGAGGGTAATATCTCCCATGGGGAATCATCAAAGTCTGTCACATCATTTGGGGCAAGACCAGGCACTCCCCTCTGTGTCTAGGCTAGATCTCCTGCTTGTATTCTTAAGTGGCATTTCCATCTGTCATCCCATAATCTCTGTTTTCCCTCAATAAAACTACTAGAAAACAATTGAGATAGAAAGGACTTTATTAATACCACCAGTGATTCTAGTTAACACTGTTAACACCCACATTGTTTTGAGCAATTCTCTTCTGTCTTGGCTGACATCACAGTGTCATGGTATGGGCCTGACTTGAAACGGTGGTTTCAAGAATAGGATGTGAAGGGCATTTTCTATTCAAAGGGAGATGATAAGACCCTTCCATGTCCAAGCAGATTGCTGGTTTTGGAAACCAAAGGACCCAAACAATATTAGGAGGAAAATGCATTTTGTTTTTATACCCAGAGTATTATGCTAATGCACAGAAGTGACAACTTGTGAAAAGCCAGTGACATCAGCCTGAGCCACTCATTCTCAACTGATCTTAGTTACAGAAATGTGAAGTCTGATTTCCCCAGTATTTTTCTTTAAGAAAATCTAAAAGGGTTAGAAGAAATTAAAATGACAAAATCTGCCAAGAAATTAAAAGGGTGTGGTTTCAAATTGCTTTCCTTTCAAATGGAAAGTAAGCCACAATGGGCAAGAACCTTTTCTTTCCTTTTCAAACCTAATTGGCCAATTGGCAATGCTTTTTTGACTTGACTTAGTGCTTACTGTGGGCTAAAACAGACATTCTGATTCAGACATTGCAAAATAATTGAGAAGATTTTGCTATTTTAGCAAAACCATTTGACATTTAAAGGTCACATAGCATATAGCTTGATGTATAGTTACAGAAAAGTAGCTACCCTTTCTTTCTCCATTCTCTACATGCAGTTCAGAAACTCCAGTATGCTGAAAAGGAAGGTTCGAGTTGTTTATATTTTTTCCATTGCTTGATCTGAAATCTTGGGGACTTTATATCTGGGAAATGCATGTGGCCCTCCACATGACATGTGAGTTGGGAATGCAACAAGTACCAAGCCTTGTATACTCTCAGGGTACCCACAATGCAACAAGTACCAAGCCTTGTATACTCTCAGGGTCCCCACAATGGGAGAAACTGGAACTCCAAGAAATGTGTAAGCTACATCTGGCTGGTAGTTGTAGGTGTTACCAGTTGATATGATAAATTTAGATATAAGTAAAGGCTCTGACCTTTAAACTTCTGGTTAAAATCTAGGTGACGGTTAAGTGTAAGGCAAATTTAAATGTCCACAATACCACTTAACAAACACCTGGAAAGTTCAATTAGAAAGAAAGGTACATTGCCTTTTCCCTTTTCATAGTGTTAGGATCACCAGCAAGAGCTGTTTAGGGATAAGCACGGTGAAGACCAGATAGTAAATCAACAGCACTTGCAGGCAAACACAGTCTCTACAGCAGATTCTTCTTGTCTTGTTCTATTACCATCGTCTAAAAATGGGACATTTTGAAATACAAACCATGTAAAAGCAGACAAAAGTCACATTTGTCCTACTGGCTTTAATTTTCCAAGCCATAATCTAAATTGAGAAAGAATAAAATCTTTTAAATATTTTATATTTCCCACTATGAATTTGCCTAATCATTTTCTGATGCTGGGAATATCATTCTTCACAATTAATGACCTCACCTGGCATTTAAACGTTATAATTCCTTTTCCCTTTAACCTATGACATTCTCTTGCCACTAAGCTTTACTCCCATAATAAATTATATTTCCTTGCTTAGTGATAGAATTCACCCATTATCTGCTGATTTTTGTAGTGAAGACTCTAGCTGCCTTTATCTGCATTCTTAACCTTTTGAAAACTTTTGTACTGTAGTAAGTATCTGCTCAACAGTCTTTCACTGACTGATTATGTAAAGATCAGATTCCCTGAATCATATGAATTAAAGGTAAAATGATTGAATGCTGAACCAAAATAGCCCTGCCAGGAAGATTGCTAAGCAAATATTCATCTCACATGTAACTATCTTAAATAATTTATACCAATATTATCCATAGCAAAGATTTTCCATACTTTTGAAAATAATACCTGAATGGCCATGTGAAAAATAAAAGTATCGATTTTTTTTTATCTCAGCCAGAACAAATTAACTTTAAATCATATTCCATTAATCCTAAACATATGAGATGTCTCTTAAACAATAAGCTACTCTTTTATGCTGAATGATTGTGAAAGGTTAGCTTAGATGCAAAAATCAGGAGAGTCTGAATTGGAATCTTCTACCACTGTGTCATCACAAGCATCTTCCTTGGTTTATCCAATTATTCACAGGCTGATTTGTATATAAGAAGATCCAGAGATTGATGGTCTGAGAAGCTAGAATTCCAATTCCTTCTTTATGAGTTGTCAACACACTTAGGCATGCGATTTTGAAGAAGTGTTCTCATCTCCTTAACACAACAGCACACAGTAGACATGCCAGCTGTGTTCCTTGAAACAAGAGGCATACATGTGGAAACAATAAATTGTCTACTTTGACTTAATTCTTTTTTATATATGAATTGCCAAAGTCAGATGTTTAGAAAGAATGAAGCTGGTATAATTTTACAGTGCTCAGTCAACAACAATTAAAGTGCTTGATTAAACTTCCTCTCTTTATTACCTTGTTTTCTTATTTTCAAATGAAATATAGAAGTAAAACTTTCATTCCTGACAAATTTGCCCATACTTTTATTTGAAAGCATGCAGCTAATTTATGCAATGAACTAATTTGTTCTACACAGGAAACATCTCCTTTGTAATATTTGTATTGTATGGGTTTCTTAAGTTGTCACTGAAATGATTTGCTAAAAACATCAGTGATTTTCCTTTTTTTAAACAGGATTTTGTTTCAGGTGGATCAAGAAGTGAACGTTGTGATACCATTTCCAATCTGATAAACAAAGGCTGTCCAGCTGACTCGGTAGAATACCTGTCAGTGCGCATAGTCACACCAAATGAGAATGAAATCAATACCCAAGTGACACCAGGAGAAGTCTCGATCCAGCTGCATCCAGGTTTGGTGATTTTCAAAGAAATCTGTGAAGGACATTAATTTGTGATGAGAGCTCATCGTGACTTGCTCACAGTTGATCTGATGCAGCAGGCAGTACTGTAATTGACATCTTACTGAGATCAGATCAAAGAACCAAATCTAGTCCCTGTCAAGTCCATAGCTAAGCTGGGTGGCCTAGGCCACTCTATAAACCTCACTACAGCCTACTATAACTGTTCTGATCACACAGGGCAGTCACACTGTGATGTAATTGTGCTCTGAATTCAATGAAACTCTGGGGGAAGAGAACTTTTTCTTACAGTTAGTTATTGAGTTGGTAGAGGGTGAAGAGGAGCGCACATGCCTCAGTGCACATAGAGGTCAGAGAACAACTTGCAAAAATCAATTCTCTCTTTCAGTCATGTCTGTTCTGATGATCGCATGACTGCTGTCAAGCTGGTAGCAAGTGCTGATACCTGCTAAGCCCCAAAAAAGGGGCATACATTTTTTTTTTGTTTTCTTTCTCCATTTTGCAGAGTGCTAGAATAGAGTAAATTCTCCATATGTACTTATATATGCTTTGATTCATTCATTCATTAGTGGAAAATACAAATTACTTAAGTACTTAGTCTTTGCAATGAACTTTTAAAGACAAAACTACCATTCATTATTACCATAATTAACTTAAACAGCTTTGTGATGGTATTTGAGATTAGTGTGTACTTTCCCTAATGCATTTCTCTGTTATCTTCCCTTCTGTAGCAGTGTGCTCCATAGTCTGACACGTGTTGTAGCTCTGGAAAACATCCATTCCCCCAGGGACATAGAATTCCAATGTATGAACTATATACAAGATGTCAAAGTACACAGATATGTGCCACAGAGCTAGAAGACTGGTTTAAAATAATATTAAATTGTTTTCAACTCTTCATTAGTTCGCCGTAGGTGGTCATGTCTTGTCATTAGTTTTTAAAATAATAATAGTAATAAAATAATAATAATAAAATTCTTGCTACACTTCTCATCCAACTCAAACTATTTTTTCCAGACTAATTAGTTACCATAAAAACAAAGTCTATTTCTTTCCCTGGACATGTTCCTAGCTTCCAGTTAAAACTTAGTTCTCCACTGTAAAAAATAATGATACAGATTGATATGGAAGTATATGAGGGCAAGCAGGAAAGGGATGCATAGCCAGTACAGGAATTCTAATTCAGTTGGTAAAGAGCATGGCTTTACCACCTACTATTGAAATAAAAGGCAATGTTTACCCAATCCAGTATATTCACTAAAATCTGCCCTTAATATTCCAGTAATTACACATCTTGCTTCCACACAGCCTTCTAAAGTTATAATTGCCCACCACCTCTAATGACTTTTTTCTCGACCTGGTTTTACAGCAGGTTCATGATCTGATCTCAGGTTTTCTAATCTCTCCTAAACTACTTCTATAATTCACAGTCTCCATATTTTATCAGTGTCCATGACTTGCCAGCATTCTCATCCACATATTCCCTGGGCCTCCAGAGACTTTATGGAGTGGGTTTGTTTGTGTGTTGTCTGTGTTAACATTAAATAGTAACATACATGACCCTCCATTACATCTTGGCCTTCTGACTCCTGTGTCTGAGTTAACTCCCAGAGCACACATGAATTTTAAGGTACTTTGTTATCATGGTCTTTACCTCAAGCCTCTCTTCAAATCCTACAGATTCCCTCATCACCACTCTGCACTCAACTTCAACAAGTTCTTCATCATAGGAGAGCTTAAAACCCTCCCTTTCAATATCTTCAGAGGACATAAGGGGATTATAAAACAAAACTGCTGAGCTTAATTAGTAAATTTGATGCTTCAGTCTGTTTAGCTGCCACCACACAATGCCTTACATTTGGTGACATAAATGGCAGAATTGTCTTTTCTCACAGTTACAGAATTCAAAGGTCAGGTATGCTCAAGAATGAGGTATTGGCAGATTTGGTGTCCAGTGAAGGTTCTCCAGGCTTACAGGTGTCTACTTCCTGATGAGTCCTCCCATGGCAGAGTTGAGGGGGGAAGGAATGGGAATGGTGTGAAGTGAAAATCTCCAGTGTCTCAGAGGACCATTAATCCTGTTATGAAGTGCCACCCACCATGATCTCATCTAAACCTAACTATAACACAAGGTCCTGTCTCCAAACTCTATTCAGCCTATAATACTTGGTAAGTAAATTGTTATTTTTAAAGTCCGTATACTATATTAAGAAATCAACCACAGAGAACCCAGTTACAAAAAGTAAAAAAAAAAAAAATTATGTCCCCATTATCTTTAAGCACAGTGCCATAAAATTTTAAATTAAGTCAAAAGATATAATAAAAATTCTAGTCATAAACAAATAGTAACAGTAACAAAAGACATTCAAATATATAGGTTATAGCATGAATTGTTCTAAAAATTGAAAGGTTTGCTTTTATTTTGAAAAAAAATGAATAATAATGGACTGAGCATCTAAATAAAAGAATAGCAAAAAAAGCAATCATAAAATAAAAAGGAAATAAATTTAAATGAATAAAATTAATGAAATATAGAATTAAAATAAAATGTAAATACAATAATAAATTTAGTAAATCTAAGAAATGAAGACAAAAAAATTGCTAGTTGAATAATATTCACTAACACATGGTAAGAAGTACTTTGCATTCATTCAAACTTTCAAGGAACACATTATACCTGCGTCATATAAACTCTTAGAAAGATTTACAGTAGGCCTGCAAGCTACTTGGTTGAGTCAGTATAACCTGTCAAAGCCTTAATAAAAACTGTAGCAAATCAAAGCAGACTACATTTGCTAAGAACCACTGTGTCCAGATAAAAGAGTATGATGTTCCCAAATAAGAAGATGTTTTTGTGACAATTACAAGTCTCCATAAACACTGTTAAAGACATTTAGCAAAGGTGAGATAATCTCAATTAAATTCAAATATAGTTTCTCTACACAACGCAGCACATTTCTTTAGAATATGCTGCTAAAAGTGAATTTGCTAGGCAAATTTGTTTTCTGTTGCTGAGACAAAATACCTGAGAATATGGCCCCATTGTTTTAGGGCATGTGAGACACTTCATCATGGCAGGAAGATGAGTCCTGTTTATCTCAGGGACAATGAGAAAGAGACAGGGGTCCCAATATCCTCCCCTGTTGCCCCCACCAACCCCCATCCCATTCCCTTGTTGCTCCCGAGGGTGTGAACTTCCATGGGGAGTCTTCAAAGTCTGTCATATCATTTGGAGCAGGGCCCAGGCCCTCCCCCATGTGTCTTGGCTGAGAGAATATCCATCTATGTGGAATGGGTTCCCAAAGTCCATTCATATACTAGGGATAAATATTGATCCACTACCAGAGGCCCCATAGACTGCCCAGTTCTCCTAACTAACACCCACATTCAGGGGATCTGGATTGGTCCTATGCTGGTTTCCCAACTATCAGACTAGGGTCCATGAGCTCCCCCTTGTTCAGGTCAGCTGTCTCTGTGGGTTTCTGTAGCCTGGTCTTGACCCCTTTGCTCATCACTCCTCCCTCTCGACAACTGGATTCTAAGACCTTGGCTCAGTGTTTAGCTGTGGGTCTCTGCTTCTGCTTCCATCAGCTACTGGGTGAAGGCTCTAGGATGGCATATAAAGGGCATTAAAGTAGCCTCTTCACTATTGTTTAGATTGTTATTTAGGGTCATCCTTTTAGATCTCTGAACATTTTCCTAGTGCCAGATTTTTCTTTAAACCTATAATGGCTCCCTGTATTATGGTATCTCTTTTCTTGCTCTCTTTGCCTTACTCAATCTTCCTGCTCCATCATGCCCACCTCTGCCCTCCTCTTCTCCCTCCCCTAACCCCATGCTCACAATTTGCTTGGGAGATGTTGTCCCTTTCCCCTTCTCCAGGGTACCATGTATGTCTCTCTGCGGGTCCTGCTTGTTTCCTAGATTTCTGGTGTGGGTTGTAGGCTGGTAAGCCTTTGATCTATGTCTAAAAGTCATATATGAGTGAGTACATACTATGTTTGTCTTTTGTGACTTAATTACCTCCCCCAGGATGGTTTCTTCTAGTCCATCCATTTGCCAGTGAATTTCAAGATTCCATTGATTTTTTTTTCCCCAATGAGTAGTACTCCATTATGTAAATGTACCACATTTTCTCCATCCACTCTTCAGTTTAGGGACATTTAGGTTGCTTCCAGGTTCTGGCTATTACAAATAATGCTATGAACATAGGTGAACAGATGTAAGGACCCTATTTTTATAATTAAATACTAATTTTCAGCAGGTTATCCTATTTTATATATTATTTATTGCTAATAAATGCAGCTATATCCTTTAAATGCCCTACTCTTTAGAAAATATTTGATGGAAGAACATATAAATTACACCTTTCTGCTTATGTGTTCAATTCATATACATCAATAATTACAGTTTTCTCCTTTTGTAGCTACATTAATGATTTAGGTCTTCTGAAATTATAAGTCAATACCAGAGGTTTCAGAGAAGAAAAGCAGTCCTTATCCTAAGGTTACTTAGACTCCAGTAGAAATAATGGCAATAATTATTAACATATATGTATTTACTGTGTGCCAAATATGGAACTAGGTATTCTGTGTAAAGCTATCTCACAGTAGCTTTTAGAAATTGAAAGAAGATAGAGATACTATGTCTGGTACTTCATAATTATATAGTAAACATTAAAATGATGGTATGATCCAGTTGCTAGGGAAACCAGGCAGGGAGGCTCAGCCTGATCCAAGGGGAGTAGCTTACTGAAGAGTGTCTTAAAGCAGTAATTACATGAAGAAAGGGAGGTTAGCTTACCACAGGCAAAAGGAACATAAACATAGCATGAAAGTGTGTGTTTGCAGAGTACTCAGGACTTACAAGCAGTATTGTCTTGTTAGGCTTAATATGAAGATGGAATCAAGATGATGAGGTGCTTTAATCACCACCTTTAGCTACTTGAGCACCTTAAGTAGACAGTGTCAAATATAACCTTGAGTTTTATTTTATTTTTTTTTAACTTTGAGTTTTAAAAAGACAGAGTCCATGGTATAGTGACTATGGGAAAGCAGCGCAGCAAAGGATGGTGAAGTAAGAAGGAAAAATGCAGCAAATGCTGAGAAAAGAAGGGGAGAGTGGGAAAGAATACAGTTTGAGGCCAACCTGAGCTACATGGTGGCATCCTGTCTGAAACGACAAAAAAAGGAAAAGCTGGTAGACGAGGAGATAAGATAAGAGGTGAAGGGAGAGATTCATAAAGAAAAAATACCAAGGAGGAAATGTTATGGTCAGCCCCGATTGTGGTCATTTATAACCATTTTCCACATAGTTGACCTTGACTATCAGCTATGTTGTGGTTAGACAGTTTAATATGGGGGATGTGATCTAAAATTAGTTAGAAAATGTGGTTTAAATCACACACAAAAAAGGGGGACCTCCATCCATGAGAATTTGACAATATTTTAAGGCTTACTCATATAAACCCACACCCCAGACTGCTCTTCACACTCACCTGCACTCCACAAAGAGAAGCTGGTGAAGACAAGGAAGAATATGTGCCACAGCAGCAGGGACTTGAATGAAACTGAGGCAGCACAGTTAGAAACTCACTTCTCATTGCCCAAGATTTCCTGTCTGTGAGATTGGTAAAGAAAGATGCCAACAACATAATCAGGCATTGTTCTTTTCCTTAACACTCAAGGCAGAGAGACCAGAATGACTATGGTCAACTACAAAGCCCACCCTCAGTGACGTATTAAAGGGCCACACCTTTTAATTCTTCCCAAACAGTTCTACTGAGTAGTCATTCAAGTACTCAAACATATGAGACCATGGGGGCCATTCTCGTGCAAACTACCCTAACCCTGAAAAAGTAATATTTTTCTGAAAATAATTAACTTGCAAATCATATTTTATGACTAATAGAAATGCATGAGGTTATTCTCTTTAATTCCATTATTTTTATGTTTATGGGTATTTTGCCCACATATATGTTTGTGCACCACTTGTGCACAGCACCCTCAGATGCCAGAAGAGGGCTTTAGAATTCCTGGGACTGGAGTTACAGATGGTTTTGAGTAGCATGTAAGTTCTGGAAATCAAATCTGGGTCCTCTGGAAAAGTAGCTAATGCCCTTAACTACTGAGTCCAATAGTCTATTCTTGTAGGAGGAAAGGTCAAGAGTGATGAGCTCTCACTTCTCTTCCTTACCCACTACTGTCCATCTTTTAGTTTCAAACCATTGTATAGAACCAACAAATGCTTTATGATCCTGGTGTTGCCACTTCATTCCCAAGTTCTATGCTCCATCAGCACAGTTCTGCTGTTACTTTTGCAGTTCCTGTGACAACCCTGGGAAGCAAGGCAAGACTGAGTACACCAAACTAGGCTGTGGCCACTCTTTAATTAAAATGGGACATTTTAGAATTTTATTATTTGTATATTCTAAAGTTTTCCTGTAATCACATTATAGAATCACTTATAAATGCACAAAGGACATAGTCTGGGCTGAGTATGATTAATGGACTTAAGAGTGACATCAGCAACATTTAATTAAAGAATGGTTTGATCAGCTAATGTATACCAGCTGTATGGAGTATATGAATGTAGTACATCTATCTCAGACTATCCCATCTCAAAAAATTCCTCTAACATCAAGACACTGCTGCTTGTGTTAGCAACCAGGTCTAAAGCCATGTATCTGTACATATTTCTCTCTGAGTCAGCTTAACCAAACCCTTTTTAGTGTCTTCTGGTTATTGGCCTGTGTTGACTACACTCTAATATAAACTAAATAGAGGTTTACAGGGGGACACAGTATTTACATAGCCATGAGACCGTATCTCTAATGCCTTTACCTATGGAATATTACAAAACACATAGCTAACTCTTTATCCCACATATATAATTGTCTGATCCAAAGGCATCTTGAGAGCACACCATGCAAATTGCCTCAAACTCACAGGCAAGCAAGGCATGATAATCAAATTTGATCCCATCTTAAAAAGCAAAGTGTGATTTGGGGCTAGCTACCCTGAACTGGCAAAACATTACTGGATCTTGAAATGTAAAAGCAGCAATTACTGTTCTCTTGTACAATGACTAAAAGGTCCAAATACAGAAATATTTATTTTAAAATGACAACTTGTCCAGTGGAGGTCTTAGCCCATGTTGAAGACTGACCCAGGTACCTGTGCTAAGGCCAGGATCTAGGTAACCCAGGATCCTGACACAGTAACCTCCAGGGCTTTCTCATCACCTCTCCTCTGTGAAAGGAGATTTTGCTGGCTAGGCTGGGAATAATTGTCAGCACAGGTCTCCTGTGTGTGTGGCTGGCATTTGTCTGGAGTGCCTTCAGTAGCTTAGTCCCCCCCCAGTAGCTTAGTTTGCAGATGCTGCACAAACTGTGCCTTTCACTGAGGTCAGCACCCTGCACCTTTGCTGAGTTCTATGCACAATCTGCTGAATAACTGCTACATCTAGCACCACCTATAAAAACAGTCATTCAGTGTCAGAAAGAGTCACCATAAACTGCAATTATTCACCAAGTTAGAAATACCATGTGTCTAATGCCTAAAGCCTTTAGCAATATGCCCAAGTCAACAGTCAAAAAAAAAATCAGCTATATAATTTATATATTCCTTAAATGCTGACCCATGTGTCAAGCCCTTGTACATGAACTATGCTCTTTTTCTTTTTTATCTGGCCCTGCATACTATTTTCTGATATTCTCCTCCATTTAATTCTTCACTTTAATTACAGAATGATTCTCTACTGGTACTTTTCAGTACAGAGCCAAAAGGTGAACAGAGCAGACGAGCTCATAAAGAGGAGTAGAGAATGGGTGGGGCTGGGTCATGCTTGCCCCACTTTTCATTCCAAACTTCTGGGATGCAGAACTCAGAGCATTGCATTCACGGGGCTTCCAACTCAAGCAGGAAACTGGAAGTGAATGAACACCCTCTGATCTGTGAGCCCAAACAATACTTTTTTGCTTAAGTTGCCTCTATCCAGGATCGGATCTTAGTGACAAGAAAAGTAAGATGGCTCAGTGACTACAGGGGCTTGCCATCCCAAGTTCAATCTCAGAGATCCACAGGCAAGAGGCTCAGTACTGTTTCTGGTTCCTACAAGTTGTCACATGACCTCAACACATACATTGTGACAAGTGTGCTTACACATATACATGAGCATGCCAAATGCAATTGAAAATGTCACTTACTTATTGACCTCTAAGATGTGTAAATGAAGACTATATGATGTTTTTCTTTCTTTGAATTAGGAGCTGAAGCTAATTTTATGTTAAAAATCCGTCCTCTGAAGAAATATCCTGTGGATCTTTACTACCTGGTTGATGTGTCGGCATCAATGCACAATAATATAGAAAAATTGAATTACATTGGAAATGATTTATCTAAAAAAATGGCATTTTTCTCCCGTGACTTCCGTCTTGGTTTTGGCTCATACGTGGATAAAACTGTTTCACCTTACATTAGCATCCACCCAGAAAGGATCCACAATCAGTGCAGGTAGCTAATGTTTCATGTGGATAGTTACTAAAAGAATCTCTCTTATAAAAAATCTCATGTTGTTTGTTCTTATAGACTTACCATGTTTCAAAACATTGTTTTATAAAATAAAAGTTAAAAATATTTGAGGAGGATCCTTGTTCCTCTATGGAAATGTTTGCCTGTAGCTTGGATTTTAAGTCACATTCCTTCAAATAATGTTTGTTTATTTTTTATAATACAAAAAACCCCTTACCTATTACTAGTAACCCTGTATGAATTTCCAACAATGAGGCTCACATGAATATAAATACCTCTAGAAATTTATTGAATTTAGGTTTGTCACATTTTAGAGTATCACCTCAATGCTACACTGATACCTTACTTTATTGTGATGGTATATATTTATGTTGTTAATTATGTACCTAAATGCCTCAAAGACTGAGGATCAAAAAGTAAAAATTTGATTCTAAATAGCATTTGCCTTCAAGCATGCAAGTTTTCATATAGTGTTACCTGTTGAATTTTCAGAGAAATGTCTTAGTAAATCTCTTGTTCCATAAATCATTTTCTTTATAAAGATATATTCTACTTCCATAAACTGCTCAAGTCATTTCACTCTGCACATTCTAACTTGCAGAAATAGTTACTATTAATTGAACAAAGTGGGATTGGTTTATATTTTACAAGACTTTGTGAAGTCTTCTCTTCATTGCTATTTATCATTCCCTGTGGTTTTCTGAGCTCACACTGATCCTGGGTGCTTTCTGGGTGCTTGGGTTACATTACTCCCACCTTGAAAAATCATAGGAGAGTCCACCTATGAAATGAATCTCTTACTGAGACACAAGAGCGCTATCTGAAGTAGTTTTCATACATGTTACTGTTCACTAATAATTCCATATCAAGTATCATTTTCAAAATTAGAAAAAATAAAAGTAAAATGTTATTTGAGCTGAATTCACAAACTATCTTCCTGGATGTGTTTCTCGTCAGCTCCAGGGCTAATTGTAATAGGAAATTACTACAAATTGTTATGTTCCTATTAAAAATTCATTGTTCATTAGCATATCAAAGTGTTTCATTCTCCAGTATTCATGAAACACATGGAATCTTCTTCATTTTTGACCATCAACCTTACATTTCTATTTTCTCCTCACAGACAAACTTCACCAACATTAAACTCTCTAATATTACAGATTTTTATGTTGTAAAAAATTTCCTAACCCTCCCCCCCCAAAAAAAATCCCCTCTTTCTTATAGCAACTACATAATTTGACTATTAATGGCACTTTGAAAAATTTAAGGAAGCATAGAAAATTAGATTTTGCACTCCTTTCTTCCACACAGTGACTACAATTTAGACTGTATGCCTCCCCACGGATACATCCATGTGCTGTCTCTGACAGAAAACATCACTGAATTTGAAAAAGCAGTCCACAGACAAAAGATCTCTGGAAACATAGACACTCCTGAAGGAGGCTTTGATGCCATGCTCCAGGCTGCTGTCTGTGAGGTAAGAAATTGTGCATGCTGTGTGTTTGGGTTCTCAGATGTAGCAGAGGGTGTAAGACTTTTATATCCTGGTATGTTCTGGTTGGTTCATGGAAAGAGCATAGAAGAATACATTTTAAAAGAAAAAAAAAAAGAATCTCATTTCTCATCACTATTTTTGTATATGCTGGGATATGGGCCCAAGCTGGGAAAGGGTTAGACGAGGTTTAACAAAGGGGATGCAAGAAAAAGTCAGAAAGAGCCTGTTGTCTCATTCCCATCATGTTATCTGCCTTATTCTTCCTCCAGTGAGGGAGTAAAGGATAAACAAATACATGGCCATGCTATTTTAGAGACAGCACATCATTCAAGCCTGATTTAATGTTTGTCAACTGGAATATATCGTTTACTTGAGGCAAAGACCACAGTGAGATCCATGTCATTGTACAAGGTCTAATTACATGTTTATTTTAAGAGTCATATTGGATGGCGAAAAGAAGCTAAAAGATTGCTGCTGGTGATGACAGACCAGACATCACATCTTGCTCTTGATAGCAAATTGGCAGGCATAGTGGTGCCAAATGACGGAAACTGCCATCTGAAAAACAATGTCTACGTCAAATCTACAACCATGGTAATGTAGCAACAGCTCCTTCCTAGCTATGATGACTCCTTGAGCTAAAATAAAGTTTAAATTGTCAATTCAGTAATTCTTGTCCCAGGATATAACCGAAAAGGCAATATGCAGAATCAAGATGGGCCACTATGGAGCAGTACAGTATGGTTGCTGCTCAAGAAAGTTGATAGCTAAAAGATATTGACATTTTCTAGTAGCTGACTCTTAGACAAGCTACTATGAATGATAGAATTTTTTAAATAAAGTGATACAAGATCTTATTTTCATGTGATTCAGATCTTGAAAAGAAAGGAAAACATGTCTTTGTTTTGTACACTACTTCTATGAGGTTGGTACATATAAACAGAATAAGAAATGATAAGAAAAAATGGAATTTGTCTAAGGAATCTTCAGAATATAGTACTAAATAAGCTAAATAGAGAACATGAAGAAAAGCATAAAACAAAGCAAGCTTTGTGTACCCAGATCACTCATTCTCCCTCTGCCATACATTTTTTGTGTAGAGCTACTTGTTAGATGAAGCCTGTCTGAATTGCTCCCGAGGTTAGCATAAGATTTGAATCTGTATTTAAATACCTTTTATCACTACATCTTCCCTATCATTAGCTAATTATGTATATTTTTTAAAAAAAATAAACAACAAAGTATCATTTGAGCGTGATGTTTACCGACATTTACTTGCAAATGTTTTGAACAAAGCTGGCAAATTTCTCTGTTCACAAGCCCCATTGTACAGTACCACATAAACTAGGCATGGTGGTACCTGCTTGAAATTCCAGCATTCTGGAAATGGAGACAAGGGAATCAGAAATTCAATATAATCCTCAGCTATATAGCAAGTTCAAGGCCAACCTGGGCACATCAGACTGTTTCAAATAATAAAATGAAATAATAAACTGTAATAAATAAATCCAATCATTGGCATATTTAAAATTAAGGCTTTGGAGTAACTCCAGGGGCATCTTTCTCTTTGCTAATTCTCTCCTATGTAGCTACATTTCACTTCTAGTTACTCATTTCTTATCTGGCTTTCTTTCTACTTAGCCTCATTTAATCTAGGATAGAGGTCTAATGTGTTCCTTGGCAATGAAAGAGGATACAAGAGGAGCTACTCTATTTTGAGACAGAGAGAAGCTTTTTAAAGGAGAAATGACAATGGTACGATTCCCAAGTCCTGTTATTCTTTTGAAGTTTTGCCAAGTTACTGACATCATCTCTTCATCAGTATATTTTGAAGGATGCTGTGGCTCATCCAGGGATGAGCCTTTGGGTGAAAATAAAATGTCACAATATTAGATCTAGGTTATATTTAAAATCTTATATATAAAAATTTCTGTTGATAAGTTATAATTTTTGTTCATAAGTTTTGTAAAAATTTAAACCAATTTGAGTTGTTGTAATGTGAGGAAAACAAGCAACATATCATGTGCTTCTTTTGTGTTTCTGGCCATTATTCCATCTATTTAGAGGAATGACTTTTGCACATGTCATTCCTGTGATTTATTGGGCCAATCAAAGAGAAGTTCACTTTGATAATAACTTAAAGAACACCTTTATTCCTGTTATACCAGGTCTGTATTTTAAAGGATCCTCTTCTTCTTGCTAGCAACAATCTCCAGAAATAAAAGAAACTAGTGCACTGTAGTGACTCTCTGTTTATATGGCTACATGTAAAATGTGCAATGAAGGACGCTGAAGCCTGGCGTGTCTCAGGCTACCTTGACCCCATTTTAAACACTCTCCATTCCTTAATTGTTACTATGATGGAATCCTAAATATGTTTCAGTTAAGCAAGAAATCACTGTTTCCTAGCCTCATCGCCAGAAATCAGTGCCAGTAATGATACAAGGCTTCATGGCCCAAGACTTTGGTCTTTGTATTTAAAGGGAGATGAATGATTAAATGTCTCTTGTGTGTCTAAATCACAGGGATCAGACTTATTTATTTATTTATTTATTTATTTATTTATTTATTGAGTTACAACAATTTCAAGATCAGTGTAGCTCCACGCTAATCACAATGAGAATCCATTGGCTGAAAGTATCTTTGCAAACACTTTGCATATTGTATGGAATTTGTCATTACAACAACTCTGTACAGTAGTTGCCATTATCATCCTTTTACTAGCAAAAATACTAAAGGTTAGAAAAGCTAAATTAAATCTGTATGAAGACTGGAAGCTACTAAACTAATGAACTTTAGATCTGGGACCCACTGCATTTCTATCTGTATTCGTAATCATTTTGTCAAAGTGTCTCAACCAAAAAGTAAAGAAATACTGAAATGGTTTCCCTGGTGTGTTTTCAGTTCTAAATGTTTACACTGTAGCCTTTACCTACAGAAGAATAAAACTAGAGACTTTGGTTTTATCTGAATTATAAAAGAAGTTTTAAGATAACTTCTTTCTAGGCTGTTGGCATTGATAGTACACTATTAAATAAATCTATTTTCTAGTGTTTTTTCCATTACACCAAATGCCATAATAAAACATGAGTAGTCTCTCAGTGCATAAGTCTGCCCAGCAACAATATCAACTTAAAGTATGGCATTCTATCCAAAAAGATAGGGGTTCACATGAAATTGTTGGTGATGGAAAAGATATAATACTTAAAACCTAGAAGTCTATTCTGTTTCTCCACCCAGCTTCATCAAATTAGTCAACCTCATTCAGAGCCTTCCCATTCATCCTACCCTTAGCAAAGGCCAAGAATTATACAAAGATCTTCCACTAAAATGAAAGGAGACAAAGGAGACATGTATAGAGGCATTGAGTGAACCTGGCCAATGGGCAGTTCAAACTCTCAGTCCTGAATACACAAATGCAAATAGGCTTACTAGTGTCTCCTGTTCAGACTTGTTCCATGCCCCTCACGGATTTTATTAGTCCGTGATCCTTCACTTTTCTTTCACATGCCTCTGCAGAACAGCTTACCACTGGTTCATTTGTTGCTTCTCTCCCTAGATCCCCAGTGGGATAGAGCAGTTGCTGACTATGTGAAGTATCTTGGATACTAGTGTACAAGTGAAGTATCGTAGATACTAGTGTACAAGTGCTAAAAGCGATTCAGTATTACTGCAGACTTTCGCTTCCTTTCGGAGAAAGATATTCAACACTCTTGTTCTTCCGCTCACAGTTTTACTTAACATTTACTTCCCTCCTAAGATGATGTCTGTGAAGCTTTCCATTGGCCATGAAAGTACTTTTTCTATAACTGCCAATGAAGAAAGCAAGGCTAAGATCATACTAGATTATTTTAATTCATAACTTAGCTACATGAATTAACAAGATTTTATGAATTATTGCACTTATTTCTTTTTTTTTCTTTTTACTAAAATAGAGTTTCTTTAGCAATTTCCAAGTCACGAAGGGAATTATATCTAATGTTGACATCAGACAATTCCATTTAAGCAAAGACTTGTAATATTTTAGTAAAGATTTGTTAATTATTTTGCCACTTTTGATTAAGAAATGGAATCTTCAATGTTAGAAAGAGTTAAGCATCTTTTCACTTTTCATCATGTGTCCTGGATGCATTAATAAATATACTTATGCTTTAGCACTCTTAAATGCTTCTAGAAAGTTGGAAGCCTGTACGCAGTTTTAACAAATATTGTTGTATCTTGTGTTTTTTTTTTAACTAACAAAACACTTGATAGCAGCTGACTATTATTTCCTTTAAATTGCAAGTATGCTGAGAATATTTCTTCAGTTATTTTATGAAACCCAATTTGATGCTCTATGTGTTCTCAGAAAAGTAGCCAGGTAATGATATTTACCAACAATACCTAACTGAACTTACAAGTAATTGGAAGCAAATGCTACATGCAGAAATCACCTACCCCAAGGTCACAGGAGCCTCTGTTTCCATAGAACCTCTGAGAAGGAATTCAACTAACGTCTAAAAACTAAGCTCATGAACATTTAACTTTCATTTACAACTTTATGGGACAAACTATCTTGCTTAAGTTAAATGTTTGTGTTAAAACATTTAAGCAGAAAACATCCATTCCCATTCTTTTTTAAAAGCTTACAGACTGTTATCTTTGCCCTTCTTCACCACGTAGAGTTTCATGATTATAGTTGACACCATTTGGGTCACAGGAAACAAATTCAAACACCCCAGGAGCCAGGGGAACAGGTTAATGAGTGAGGCAGATCCAACAAAGCACATGTAAGAGCATGCCTACAGTGGTCATTGGCAGCGGTCTTTTATTTGAAATGGTCTTTTACGAAGTAGTCCTTTGGTGGATTTCCTTTTACTTACTGGAAGTACAACCTCATAGCCTAGAGGTAGGGATGAAGTAAGGTTAGTCGTCAGTAGCTGAATATAATCCCACTCTACTCCATGGCAGAGCCTGTGGTCGGTGTCAGTCAGTGGGACATCAAGACCTGGACCACTTTTCACTATTGGTATGGGCTTAGTAATTACAGAATCCTGGAGCAAAGACTTTTTATTTAGTAGTCCATTTATGTGAGAGGTTACCTCTCTAATTCTCAGAAATTTAACTGGTATTTCTATATGACTTAATCATTTGGAAATAGGACCTCAGATAGCTTAAAACTGTGTCCTGGTCACACAGTGTGCTGATCAACACCCCCTCTCTAGAACATCTACCTGAGAAGGTCAGCTTATAGAGAGATAGGGTTTATTTTTTAATTACAATTTGGGAGGTCGTGACCCATGAACGTTTGTCCCCATCACATTTAGACTGTGGTGGCAAAACTGCTTAAGAAGCCAGGGGCCCAGAGTCTCCTCCCAGGGCATGTCCCAGTGACCTGCATACTTCTAATAAAACCCCACCAGACAAAGGTTCCACTGTCACCCCTAGACTCACGTTGTGTGGACCAGGCTTCCACCATTTGGGCTACTGAAAGACATTTAAGATTCATATGAAGGGCAAAGTTGGAAGTTGCAGAGCTGGGAGATGTAGCTCCAATACCACTGCTCTATCCAGAGCTCCTGTTCTTGATTCTCTTTGGGATATTTCACTTTGAAGAGGACATTTCTATGCCAAAGACATTTTAGCTATCATGGCAGGAGAGAGGGGTGCTACCATTTAGTGGGTACTCAAATACTATGTTTCACATCCTGTGTTGCATAAGTTACCCTGTACAGACACTCTCGAAAGAATCTGATATTCAGCTCCAAATGTTGGCAGGCCTACTGCTGCCCAACTTGCCCTATGTCATTACCAGGATCTACCATGTTCTTAAAAGTCAGGCTGTTGAGAAAGAAGTAGACAGACAATGTGTCTTTCAAGTTTTGATCTCCAAACAAATTTTCACTGTCACACTATTCCCACTTAGTCTGTTTCATTCCATTAAGACATAAACTCACTAAAAACGGAAGGTTTCAATATCTTATTACAGTTCTCAGTGCTACGGTACTACAAACTCTAACTTACCATAACCTTTTCAATTAATTTTACTTAAAATAAGAGACTCTTTAGCACTCTCTTTGTTCCTGGGCAATGCATATTACTGTAATTCAACTGTGTTTGTCCTTTCCAAACAGTACTCTCTTTGACTGAAAGCATTCTTCTCTCCTGACATTTATAAGTCACTCCCCACAAGCTTAATCACTTAGCTGTGCTCCTGGCATGCTCCTTCCCTTCTCCCTTTTGCCTCTGAAATGTACCTTATCTCCATTAATTATTTTCAGAGTTTAGAGAAGCAATATAATGGGTTAGTTGGGGGGAGGAGAAAATATGTGTTAGATTTGAGGAGTCATGACATGACCAGGACTGGGCAGCTGGCTGGGAGGGAGTTCATTCTCCTGCTAGCACAAAAAAAAAAAAAAAAAAAAAAAAAGGGCTTATAAGATAAAATGCTTAAGAGATAATGTGCTTCATGGAGGAGAGGTGAGGAGGCTTCAGGAACAGCCATTAATCCATAGCCACTTGTCAACAGTGGTTTGTTTAAACATGTGTTAGACATTTATAATCTAAAAAAAATCTGCCTTAAGGTACTTGAGATTTTTCTTTTTAAAACAGATTTCTTTCTAGGGGCAAAATATGTTCTTTTAAACTTAGATGTCTGATGAAGCTTTTCAATGTGCTTCTGACCAGCTAGAATGAATGTTCTAGACTTGGATTTTGTATGATTTTGGCTAACATGACTTCCTGTTTGTGGACAAGAAACTTAAAAGACTCCTAAGCCTGCTCTTATTGTCGACTGTTCTTTAAAGACTGACTGTGTGGATTAAGTACAAGCTGGTTAAAAACACATGGGTTTTTTTTTTTTTCATTTTAAATGAAATGTTTTTTAAAAGTAAGAAGAGTGAGTGCTTCTTGGCAAGCTGTTACTAATTTTTGTCAAAAAATATTTTAAAAGTAACTGTTGCCATTAAAATAATATTACCAATGTATCTATATTTGCCTTTTTTACTTAATCCCTGTAGCTTAACTGGTTTTACACAAACTGCCACAAATCTATTTTAAGGTCATGTACTTTATTAGGAACAGGAATAGGAATTTGGCTGGAAGAATTTATACTTAGGGAAGATTTTTTTTTTCTATTACTTTAAAATTACATTCCTAAGAATTGCTCTGGGCAGAATTTTTTCTTATGCAAACCCGTGTGTTAACACTTTTTGGGCCTTTTCATGAATTGGTTTTATATCACATCTACATGCAACTAATAGAAACAAATGCAGACAGACTTTTACTATGATGTCTCCTACAGGTTGAACCCAGGGCCTCGTGTATGCTAAGCATAACAGCAAGCACACCTGCTGCCCTAGTAGAATTTTAACAAGCGAGGCTGTATCTGTCCATATGCATAAATTTAAAGTGAAGGCCACAGAACATCATCCAAAAGTAAGGCTAGTTAGTGCAGGTTTATTAGTAAATTCACATAGTTCTCATATTACAGATATGTTAACTAAGTTAGGTTAGCATTGGGGACTTTAACCTGGTGTAACCTGGTATGGTGGTTTGAAAGAATGGCCCACCAAAGGAGTGGCACTATTAGCAGGTGTGGCCTTGTTGGAGTAGATGTAGTCTTGTTGGAGGAAGTGTGTCACTGTGGAGGTGTACTTTGAGGCCTCATATATGCTCAAGCTACGCCCAATAAGACAGTCCATTTCCTGTTATCTGCAAGTCAAGATGTAGGACACTCAGCCACTTCCCCAGCACAATGTCTGCCTGCATGCCATCAATTGAACGTTTTTCCTTTATAAGAGTTGCTGTAGTCATGTTGTCTCTTCACAGCAATAAAAGCCCTAAGACACCTGGTGAACTGCAGAAAAACTTGACCTTGATCTCCATGAAGCTAGATAGGCTCAGTCATACAACACTTTTGCTCCTACATTTAGGCACCAATGAATAGCAAGAGGCCACAGCAAGTGGAATCTTACATCATCCCTCTGGGGATGTCTAATTATGAACCTGTTGTTTGAAACAATCAATTAATTCCTAGATGAGCATTTATGGAAGGAAACAATAGCAACTTCTGAAGCTGTCCGTCAGGAGGTAGAAGAGCATTGCTGAGATTGAAGCCAGGACCTGGGATCTTTTGTGCTCTAGAACTGCATTATCATCCTTGAACTAAACTGTATTTTCTTTTCTAACTCATACCTAGCTAGCTTTCTAACAACGACCACGCACAAAAAAAAAAAAAAAAAAAAAAAAAGCTACATTTAGCTTTTTTCATTTTATTTAGCAAAGTAAAATGGCTCACAGTACATACAACCAAAAAAAAGTGTAATAATAAAAGGTCAGTAATCTTTTCTCTGCCTAAGACGTTCAAATAGAAATACTGGAGTGCTATTAGTTCTGAATACCTACTGAATATATCTTTCTAATTTAATGCACTATTGTCATCTCTCTAATTAACCAGAGACTGCCAAAGGTGGATTTCATGAACATGTTAGAGGATAGAGCTGAGAGCTTCTGTTATCCAAGTGAAAGCCACAGGGGCATCTACATCTAAAGAGTTTATATATGCTATGTCACAAGTCAAATCAAATGTTTGCATGCATACACAAATGTGTGCATATATGTATATGTGTATACATATAAACACACACACATATATATATATATACACACACACACACTATATATATATATATATATAAAACTATATATATATATATATATATATATAGTTTTATGCTTCAAAATCTGCTGAGTTTCACCTCAGAATGCACTATCACTGTGTGTCTCTACGTCTCAGTATTATGATACCTTTCAGTTATGTCACCATTAACATAACAAGGCTGTGATCCTCCCTTTATTGTGTGAATTTGATCCTCTTTAATTTTCTAAGCTGTAGACTTCGATGGAGCTCTGCTTGCAAGACACCCTGATTTCACTGCCATTGGTGTGGCATTTGCAAAGAGTTTAAATGTTCCTTGACTGTCATAAATGAGTAAACTCACTGTTAGTGTCTAAGTTGCATGCTTTCTTCATACTGAAAGTCTGGAGATGAGTGAGGCTGAGCTGCTGAACTTCACTATCTTCTTTGTTTGATTGCCCATTACAGGAACATCCATCACTGGGCCAACTTTCTGAAAAATTAATAGACAACAACATAAATGTCATTTTTGCAGTTCAAGGAAAGCAGTTTCATTGGTACAAGGTAGGTTCATGCCTGAAACATTAATGTTAAAATGCTTGGATTGGTAGTTGAAGTGAGGCAGTTTTCAGAAGCAGGGATGGGCATTCTAGAATTCTGATAAACTATGTAAACTTAAAAGTGTCTCAAGGTAAACTTTATAGTATCTTATGTTAGCATTTAGGTGAAAATTCTGTCTAAGTCTGTGACACTCTAGGACCATGATATGTGGGCATTGAAAGATGTATGAAAAGCTGGTACTGAATATAACAGTAATGGGAAATTTACATCACAAGAGAAGTATTTCATACTTCAAGACGGCCTTTTCATGTCTGAAGTTCTGCTTATACCACTGTTCATGGCCATGTCTTTAAAATAGGCTAAAACTTTTTAACATAATAGCAAATTGACATTCACTTGAGTTACTTCTGACCCAAACTAAATAGTGCAAACCACTGGGATAATAGCACAAACAGCTTCTGTTTGCTGAGTACCTACCAACTTTAAGATGCTGAGTGTAGAAATAGTGATTATTGGTAGCTTTTCATCTAAGGGTGGATCCATATGAAAATGTTTCCATACATGTTGGTATGTTGACTGGTATAATCATTATGCAGGTCTTGTTGAAGCAGCCATACTGTTGAGGCGAAGCTTCACAGCCATGTCTAGAAGACATCTGAAGCAGACATCTTGGTCCTCCTTCCTTACAATCTTTGTGGCCCTTCTTCCATGATTTCTAGAAGCCTTGTGTGTACGAATTATATTGTAGATGTACTGATTTTTCAACAGCACCACCACACCTAGCTTTGGGCTAGATTATGAAGCAAAGGACCAGCAGAAGCCGTGGAAATGGATAAGCCAGCCAATACCTTGTACATAAAAAATATCTCTGTGTTTCCCAGAACCCTTTGGTATATATGAGTCTCACAAGCAAAGAAAACATTATGCAGCAAAACCAGTCTGGAGGTGCCCTGTAGCTCCCAGCAGAGAAGTGTGCTGTGCCTGTAGTACTGCTTTCTTTCACAGTCTTCTCAGAGTGTCTCTTCCAAGATACTCTGCTACTTCCTTCCATGATTCCATCATACCACAATTATGCTCTCCAGTCAGGCTTCATCTATTTTATGATTTTTGCTACTTCCCTCAACTCTATTCTAAACTTCTTGCAGTGGACCATCTTCTTTGCCTTTAATTATTTATTTAAAACCCTTTGAGCAGTCACATTTTCTGACTTAAAAAAAGTGCAGAAACCTCAATTTCATCTTCCACAAAGCTACTGTTTGCCTCATACCTGATGACAGTGTTATCATGTGAAAATGCTACTTTAAGTGTATTATTAATTCTGTTTGAAATTTATGATGAAATTTCAATTCCTTGATTTACCAAGTGTATATATACACACAACATGGAATATTCTTTTAACATAATAGCAAATTGACATTCACTTGAGTTAGTTCTGACCCAAACTAAACGGTGCAAACCACTGGGATAATAGCACAAACAGCTTCTGTTTGCTGAGTACATACCAACTTTAAGATGCTGAGTGTAGAAATAGTGATTCTTCCAGTCCTCTTACTTACAAGGAACACAATGAGCAAACATTTAGAGAGGTTAAAAGTTTGCCTGGTTTTCTAATGACTCAGATCCTGGGCTATTAACCTTTAAGGTTAACAGCTGACCTTTAAATTGTATGCAACATTTTCTCTCTTTTCCCTCCTGCTTCTCTACTGCTTATTGTTTCTTTGTGTGTTATTGACACCATCATTTCTCCCTCCCTTTGTAAATCTTCCATTGACTGATAAAATACCAAGTCGGGTTTATTATTAACTGAATTGTGTACAAAGTAAGAATCACTGGGCTATCCAAGCCTGACAAGCTCTGCTCAGAGTTCCAAGTACCACTATTGTCAGCTACTCTGACAGGTGTCATTTTTTAAGTCATGTTTATATCTGGGTTAAAAATGGCACTGTGAGCTATCTCATAGGACACAGGAAATCACGAGGCCTCTGTCCATCTCTCCAGCCTCATTCCTTAGACTGTTTCCTGCTTTGTACTTGCCATTACACCAATGCTTCTACTTGTTTGTGTACATACACTCATCAGGCTGTACTTTTCCCAGATGGCCTGGTTCCTACTCTGCTCCCACCCCCAAAAAAGCCATTCTCCCTCATTACTTGCTTAGCTATCACTTATCCTCTAAGCAAACTTTTAAGTCATGTTCTTAGATAAATAATCCATGACAATATTCCCTAGAGTGAAATCTTTGCTGGGTGTCCCTCCTCACAGTAGCTAGGCATTGTGTCATGTTTATGGTGCTTTGTGAAATTGTTCCTTAAGGATTGAAATGATCTCAAAAACAATTTATGATCGTGTTCAGTGAGAGTTCAATACAGAAAATTTAAAGTCAATCAGTGATACATTTCCCTATGACTTGAGATAATGAATACATCCTGACAAAATCTGGCTAACACACATAAGAACTTGGTGATGATTATAAGAAGAAAAATGACTAAGGAACGTTAAATTTGATGCACCTATCACTCTTTACTCTAGTTAGATGGGCTTCCTCTCAGACCTTGAAGTCACTGCTCATTCTAAAGTTCTCTCAAGAGACACACAGAATCTTACTCATCAGCTCCATGAAGCTCACACTAACTATAACCTTCCACCTGGCCCAGCATGTCCCAAACTATCACTCCACAGAATAGTATTTATATTAAACATTTACCTGTGTCACAAGGGAACAGAGTTTTTGTAACTAAAGGAGAATTGGGAATGCCAATTATAAATATTAAAGTATTTGCAGAGTGTAGGTCCATTCTGAAAAATTTGTAAATGTGCATTTTTATTCTCCATAGAACTTTATCAACTCATTTGCCCCCATAACTATTCTCAAGTTAAAAATGGTTTAGGAAATGCTAAGATAACTTTAATTAGATTTGAGGTCATATAATTCATGGTACACACACATACTCATTTACACACAAGACCACACACACTGGTGCTTCTAGGTTCTCTCAATTGGAAACTCTCTTAGCTTGCTTGAGGTTTTTGTCATTATTTTCATTTATATAATGGCTTGCCTTCCAGAGAGCACCAAAATTTTTAATGTCTTGGTTGTTCACTGTTTCCAAGCTACTTTCATATTATGCACCTGTGACTCACATGTTTTTACAGGACCTTCTACCCCTATTGCCTGGTGCCATTGCTGGTGAGATAGAATCCAAAGCTACAAATCTCAACAATTTAGTAGTAGAAGCCTACAAGGTAAGTATGTACAGCCTATACAATTTTCTCCAAGTCAACTTTTACTACCATCTTTATAGCAAGGTACAAAGCAATACCGCCGCATCTTGCAAGAAGTAACAGAAAATATGTAAAACTGGGAATTTAGAGCTGGGGTTATCCCTGAATGGACCACAAACCAGCAATAATGTTTGATGCCTGGAAGTCAGTTCTGTTCTCTGTTCCTTACTTGACCAAGATTAGTTCAGCCATCCAAGTTTCCTTCCAAATTGGAAATTCAGTGAGTCACCAGCTTGTCACAAAAATTTGGATAGTTTCCTAAATTCATAAATCCAATAACAAAACAAAACAAAAACCACTATGCTGTTATTTAAAGAACAATGTTCAGTGGTAAATGGTCTCTCTAGGATATAGAGATTACTAAGAAGGCGTTGTAAGGGTCTCCATGATCCTTGGTTGTAGTGTTGTTCAGTCAGTCAATTACCATTCTTATCAAAACAGGCCAAAGTTTCCTTTCCCAGTTGTCCTCTTGGATCATTGGTTGTATGTTGTCATCCATCAGTCCAGTAAAGAATAGATGCATGAAGTTTTAAGGGAATATCTGGTCTCTCAAACTAGATCAATCCTGCATTAAAAAATCTCTACTAAAATGTGCTAATACTGACTTTTCTTTTCATATCTGTCAATTTCTATATATAACTTTACTTAATCCGCACACCTGACCTATCAGGCACCAGTTCCATTTGTATATTCATAGGAACAAAGAAGTAAGGAAATTAACCATAGTTCACACAGCCAATCAGTAGAGGCATCAGGATGACATTCCAGATGTTACTTACACTATGCCTCAGCTGCTCCCAGCTGTGTGATATGGCCTGTTTATCTTTCTTTGATTTTTTAACAGGGTGTCAAAAACTATGCTTTATTCTTCCATGGATTTATGGGCCAGTTATAAAGTCTCACTTCTCCAGATTTTCTGGCTGCCTGCTTGACTGACATGTAGAATCAGAGTGTTGAGAGAGCTGTGGAAAACCTCAGGCTGCTTTGTTAATTGTCTTCAGGCAGCACCTGCTTGCAACTTGGGTTCAAAGCAGGGAGGTGGGAGGCAGACACAGGGCAGAAAAATAAAGAAACTGGTTAAACATATTCTTCTTTAAAGAAAATAAATCTTCCTAAGTACCTCCCCCACCCTCACCCCCCGCCAGAGGATTTCTTTCAATGTCTTAAAACTGCATAGAATGAAATGAATACATATATCCTGAAATACATCTCTCACTATCATTTAAAACATGTAAGAATCTAGGGCTGAAGAAATGGCTTAGTGGTTAAGAACACTTGCTGCTTCTCAGTTCTCAGCCACAGCTCACAACAATCTCTAACTATATTCCAGGAGATCCATCATTGCCCCTTTCTGTCCTCTGTCACCACTGCACACTTACATACATGAAGGCAAAACATTCACACACATTTTTAAAAACTGTTAAGTCCATGGAATTTTGTATCAAGAAAAAAGCAATGCAAAACATCATCCAAATGAAACAGCAGTTTATGCAATTAGTCCTTTCAATTACTAAAGTATACCTCCATTATATTATCCCAAAATAAGTAAATTGTTTTTTTTTTTTCTGTTTCTTTGTTGGGCAAGCCCAGTACAGCCTTGGACTACTAATCCTGCTGCATTAGCTTTCTCTTGAGTCCCAAGATTATAAGAACATACCACCATACCTTGCTTTCTTAAACCTTTGTATCAGACTTAGGAAAAATGAGATAGGAAGTTAGGAGTGAGACATTGTCTCAAATCAAATAGTAAACACATACAGCACTGTTTGACCTTACATTCTTTGTCTTGTGCAGGTATATGACTACCTTAGCCCACCGTGGTTCTGTATAACCTTGAAATAAAAGAAATATTAGTGGCTCAAAGAAAATTTTCACTAAGCTAATCTCCTTATGAGTCTATCTTTTATGTGTGTATGTTTTCAAAATTCTTTTAGAATTTTATGTTTTCAGAGTCCAACAGAAACAATCCACAATTCATTGAAATATACATCAGAAAAAAATAGTGTCTCTCCCAACATCTCTTACATATGAAATAGCTTCTATCCTAACACCTTTTAGACAGGAATGATGAAGTTTACCTTTTCATCAGAACCTTGATTTACAAAGCACAAGAATGGAAAATATTGTAGAAAATTGTCTTCATCCAATACTTCAAAGACATTGACCCAAATGGTTTGAGATCTTACAGGAACAGCAAGCATGGCATGCTGAGCAAGCTACTATGGGAGTCATGTCCTGACCTGGCAATCAATATGTTATTTTACACCATTGAAAGTTTCTCTTAGTTTTCCAGAATTATTGGAATTCCAGTATATGAGTTCTTGTATAGAGAAAATTGTGCATATGTGTGTTTGAAGTAGTCTTGTCTACACAAATAATATTCATGAACTTGAAGAAAGCATCTTCTTTAGAGAACATGTTATCAGAATTCCATGGTCAATTACTCATCAATGGGTTTCTATCTCCTTATTAAGATACTGTTGAAGAAGTAAAAATTACTTAACTAAAGAATTAGAAGCCACTGGAAGTTTTTTTTTCATCCACGTGATACTACAACCCATTCTCTTTGCACAGTGGCATATTCCACATTTCTGTAATTTTTGTTTATAAGAATAAATGCAGGATTCTGTACCAACCTCATATTTATGCGACCGAATGTATATATATCTAAAGGGTATATTTAAAGTAGCTGTATCCTTTACTGTAAAGTAAAGATTGTAATGGAAGAAAGTTATGTGCACCCAATACATGAATCATGCAGTAGATATTTACTGAATGAGCCTATGAGCTACAATGCCACCCCCACAAAACTATTGTAAAACACTTTTCATGATAATCAAAAGAATCTGAAATTTTTTTGTCAAAACCATGTAAATTGTCAAAATTCACTTGTTATGAGGATGTTTCTTTAAATTTCATCATTAAATACCAGCAGAATAATTTTTTAAAAATTATCATTTCAATATTGGATAAGAGAGATATTTCTGTAAGTGATTAAAATGTGTTGTCATAGACATGTGGAAAATCAAGCCATTTAAACACAGCTGATCATTCAGTATTTCTTACATGTTTTAAATATAATTGGGTTGTTACGAGAAAACACCATTTATTACTTTTTTCAGAGATAAGCTTTGATTAAGTTAAATATTAAATCTAGAATGACATTATGCACTAGTTTGTTTTGTTGCTTATACTAGAAACTTCTGCACTATGTAATTAAAAACCAATGTCTCTGCAGAAACTCATTTCAGAAGTAAAAGTGCAGGTGGAAAACCAGGTACATGGTGTCTATTTTAACATCACTGCAATCTGTCCAGATGGGGCCAGAAAGCCAGGTGCAATTGGATGTGGAAATGTGACAAGCAATGATGAAGTAGGTGGCGCTGTGTTTTTTCTTGTTTAAGATAAATTCTTTGGTGTATTTTCACATGAAAAAAAATCAAAACACTACAAAAAGAATTTACTACTAACTACAAGAGTCTTGTTTCAACTTTAAAGTAACCTTGTTGTCTCATCTCAAACTTCTTTTTTAACTCAATTGACTATTCTCTCAAATTTTCAAGTTAACATAAATATATATTGTATTAAATAGTTATTAAATATTAGCAGTAATACATTTTGTGTCACAATTGGTCAAATAACCAGTTTCGAGAAGTATCTGTAGTTATACTGGTGACAAAGTGTTTTTAATTTCAAATCTTCTCATTTCCAAAGTATGAAATAGAATGTAGCCATAGGAAGAATGGGAAAGTTGATGAAAGCTAAGCATTCCAAAATCTTTCACTTTGTGATGGCCTCAAGAAGGGTGAGAAAATTTCAAATCTTTCTTCCTTCTTGCGCTAAGATTATGTAATTTTTTTTTAATTCCATCCTGTGGTGGGAAGTAGTTTTCAAAGTCCTTAAGGTCTAAGAGAACACTTCTTCCTCTTTGTTTAGAATAAATTTTTCCTCATGGCAACATTATAAGCTGTGGGTAGGGTGATTGTGCCCACAAGCCACGTATCTTTAATTATTGTAAGCTTCTAATTCTGTAGTTTCCTCTATAATTATCCCTTGGATATTGTTCAAAAGACATAATATACTGGTTCATATAATACACACTTGATTTCTGCTCGAGAAAAGTTTTGTAGCAATCTAATAAGAAGCTAACTGCTGAAAAACAAAGTCTTTCAAGACTCAAGTTTATAGCAATGATTTACCTTCCTTCTTACATGTTTTTCTTTCTTTGACCATATCCCCTTTAACTACGTAGTATAAACAGTTTCACTCCTGGGAGCAATTTTCTTTTACTAGTCGTAATAGCAGTGACCACATTATTCTACACATCTGTGAATCCTTAAAATTCTTAGAGGTAAAAACAATTTGAGTAGAAACCAACACCAACTGCACTGATTCTGATGTGATAAATCCAACTCAAATGCCTTACACATGAAAGCCTAAATATAAGTCTTTTATTTCATATTACATAATTTCCAATTGAAAAGCCAAGAATACATTGTTTTCAGTGTTGGAATTTAATTATTGTAATGAATGTCATGGGTGTGTGTGTGTGTGAACTTTCTGATTTTCCAAAGCACCTGAATATGGAGTCAGAAAATAGAGATATTAAATCAGTCATGTTATGGAAAAACAGGGAAATAGAGAACAAGGAAAAATGTCAGGAAAATAAACTGTAGTTCTAGGAGGAAAAAAAACTAATTATTAATTCGTGCCTATACATTCTTTAGTTCTGTAATGACTTTTCCAGAAGTCTAAGGGGGCACAAACACTTGAGGACAAATGGACACATGGTGATTTTTCAGGCTACTAGCAACTGTTGCTTCCTTTAATTCTAATTAATCAGTTAGGTAAAAAATGAATTAAAAGAAGGTTCTGCACCTACACATGAAAGAAATTCATGTGTGATTTGTAAAATTTGTGTCTCTGAGATGTTCATTGTCAATTCAGATATCATTACGACATACAGAATTATCAGTATAAGAGGGTATAAATATATTTCCTTTTTTAGGTTCTTTTCAATGTAACAGCTGTGATGAAAACATGTGATGTCACAGGAGGAAAAAACTATGCAATAATCAAACCTATTGGTTTCAATGAAACCATGAAAGTCCACATACATAGAAGCTGCAAGTGTCAGTGTGGGGACCGCAGAGGGCGCAAAGGGCGGTGTGCGGAATCAGCCCTGGATCCCAAGTGTCCCCAGTGTGATGACAGCAAATGTCATTTTGATGAAGGCCAGTTTCCGTCTGAAACTTGCAAGTTGCAGGAGGATCAGCCTGTCTGTAGTGGCCGAGGAGTTTGTATCTGTGGGAAATGTTCATGCCACAAAACCAAGCTTGGGAGAGTGTATGGCAGATACTGCGAGAAGGATGACTTTTCTTGTCCGTATCACCATGGAAATGTGTGTGCTGGTGAGTTTATACACATGGGCAGTTTGAATTAGTCACAACTATATTGGCATATACACTGTATATCTTTAAATCTGATGTGATGAGATGCTACCACTCAAGCCAAATCAAAGTTCAAAGCCTCATAATCTATGAAATTAGGTCATGCAAGATCATGTTTATATTTTCAGCTTGAGTACAGCAACTGTTTTAAAATCAAAACCTAAAAGTAAATATGAATCTCATGTATCTCTTGATCTTGGAAAGATTTACACCAGAAAAGTAGTTACTTTTGGTGGCTGACACTTTTTCTAGAAGAACTGGGGGGGGGGGGCGGTATTCATCCCAACAAGTAGTCCCCCTCCTGCTTGCTCAGAGGAGTTTATTTCTGTCAGGATGAAGGGAAGTGAGCTATACAAAACATAATTCCACTCACTGGAAAATTCTTAAAGCATCATTGTATATGGTATTTTAAGTTTGCAGTCATTCAAACCTCGCCAATTTATTTTTGGAAAACCACCAGCAACAGAATAGACAAAGGACAGCATTCTTCACAGAGTGCTGGATTGCTAAGTAATCCAGCAGATTCCCTCTGGCCACACACAGACCAGATTTTGCAATGAAATAGGATAAGATAAAAATGTCAAGATTACTTTTGGGCTAATTCAGTTCACTGCCACCTACTGGTTAAAGTCCAGAAGAAGAAGAAGAAAAACCAAAAACAAAACACACACACACACACACACACACACACACACACACACACACACACACACACACACACACAAAACCCTAAGCAGCATTTAAAAATTAAAACAAAATAATATTTTAAAATAAACTACCTGTCATTTGAATTCCTTGATTGTTTTTTCTGTTAAAGGGTAAGTTTGCTTATCATAAAGATTCCTTTTTTGTATGTGCACTTAGCTAGGAAATATGTATTAAATTATTGGAAAATGAAAATCAAAAGCTAAACAATTTAACTCTATTATTATATAGGCAGTAATCTTATATAGGCAGAAAAACACTATTATATGCAGTCTTTTTATTCTATTATATACACAGAATTCTCTGTGCTACATACATTTATTCAGCTGTAACTAGAATAGTGGTAGGAAGGAAGATGACTTCGGAATAAACTAGAAGTTGTCTTAGGGACAAGAAATATTTTACAGGGAACAAGAGAATGAAGTTTCCAGCATCATTCAATAGAACTGTCTCTGAAAGTGGTTTCACATACAATGGGAATCTGAAGTTCCGCTATACAATCTCAAAAAGTCAATGTATTGGCCCTGCCTATATTGTGACCACATACCTCACACACAGAGGCAACTGAAAATCTGCTTTGAATTGCTTGTGTGAGTGCAAGCAACAAAGCTGACATGCATTTTCCCTACCACTTTCCCTTGGGAATGAAAGCTCATGTTCACAGGTCAACTGGCTACGATTCAGCATACTAGCTACATCAGTGGACATTTGTTGCCTGGACCTCATTTTTTTTTATTACACTTAGCAAATTGAACTGATCCAGCACTAGGCTCTATGGAACAATTTACCTATGAGGTATCCAGCAATAAGAGAAGGGAGAGAGACGAGAAAAGAAGGGAAGAGAGAAGGAAGGAGAGAAGAAAAAGAGAGTGTGTACAAGGAGATAAAGAGGGTAAAAGGAGCAAACGAAAAAGAAGGGTGTTTTATAGTCAAATAAGCTTGAGAAATACTATATAAAACATAAAATATACCTCTCCTTTTGAGACTTCTATTGCAAATTGGCATATTAAATTTTGGACACTTTCTATAGTCTAAAATCCATTTAATAATGTGTAGTCAAGACTTTCTCAAGTTAATTGTCTGCATAAATGCCCCCCCACACACACACACATTTCAGCTTCTCAGAAGACCTACCTTTAGCCACACCTGAACACACAGAAGCACTAGCATGGCCACCCTGCCATCCTGCAAAGCTTTCCTGAGAGCCTAGCAACAGTGACAAGGGTAGACCATAGAATCCATTGACCAAACACTGACTTGATGATTTCCAGTCAGCCTTTATGGCTTCATTATATTTATGCTTTTAATTAAAAAGCATTCAAGAAGTTGGACAGCCACCAAAGTTGGGGCTTTCTCCACACATGTTAACATAATATATTGGTAGGGGGAAAATACCTACAATAGAACAGCTTTTAGAACAGACATTCCTAAATCTTGGCACTGCTTTGGTGGGGAATGGGACAGGATGGGCGGCTGGGGGGCATGGGAGAGGGAACTGAGATCAATATGTAAACTAAGAAAAAGTAATAAATATATTTTTAACAAAGCAAGTAGAAAGCTGATGCCGTTTATTCATCAGACTATTACATGTTTCCATGAAAAACAGAAGAGACCTTACAGAGCTTCTGGTGTGTCTTTGTTGCAGGCCATGGAGAGTGTGAAGGTGGCAGATGCCAATGCTTTAATGGCTGGGAAGGCGATCGGTGCCAGTGTTCATCGGCCTTAGCACAGCACTGTGTCAATTCCAAGGGCCAAGTTTGCAGTGGGAGAGGCACCTGTGTGTGTGGCAGGTGTGAGTGCACGGACCCCAGGAGCATGGGCCGCCTCTGTGAGCACTGCCCAACCTGCCATCTACCCTGCCATGGAAACTGGTACGATTCAGTCTGCAACATGAACAAAGCAATCCTTGCTGAAAGGTGTTCTGGTTCTTTATTTTGCCTTCTTTAATCTGAGTTGCTGGATCCTTAGTTACTGTTATACAAAGATGATAACAACAACAACAATAATAAACTAAGTGGGAAATTTTAAGAATTGGGATACTGAAATTCCCATCTTTGTCGAGTAAGTCGCATTGCAAAAACTAGGACAAATCTGGATAAAGTCACTACTTTGTTTTTGAAAAATAATTTTCTGAAAGTAGATGCTGCCAGCTAACCTAGTGATTGCTATTTAGCTGTGTGATGTGCAATAAGTTGATAAAACTCTCTGTGCCTCTGGTTAAAAATAAGACTAATAACAATACCTTTGTAAAAGAATTAATGTTGCTATGAAGCACTTGGGATGCATAAATGGAAAGCCCTGTGTTATATGACAGTGACATTATTATTTTGTCCTAAAAATATTTTCCAATAGCAATCTGAGACCTGCTCAAGGAAAACCTGTGTAAATGTCACTGCACTTCCAGTTTGCTTGTTCAAGTTTTTAATACATGTACTTTCTCAGATTAGTAATGCAAATAAGAATTTTAGAAATATACATAGTAATTTATTTAAAACATTTAGAAATACAGTTTTTTAATATATGGTGTTGAGTTATTTGCTACTGGGGATTGAATCCAGGTCTCACACATTATTCTCAACAAGCACCATATCCTGCTTTTATTTTTTATTTATTTATTTTTTTAACTTTTGAGACAGTGTTCACCCTGCCTGGCCTTGAATTTATGCAGTAGCTCAGGCATCCTCAGAACATATAATCTTCCTGCTTCAGCCTTCCATGTTGCTGGGATTACTGGCTTGGGCCACCAGGCCTTGCTAATGAAATTAGTTCCTAATGGACCTAATCAGAATTTGTTCAATGATTGCTGTTTTGTTATTTTCTTTTTCACAGGAACTGTATGCAGTGCCTTCACCCTCACAATCTGTCTCAGGCTGTACTCCATCAGTGTAAAACTTCCTGTGCTGTCATGCAGCAGCATCGTGTGGACCAAGCATCAGGTAAGTCGTATAGGATCCTGGGTCTGCCAAGTATCATTTACTTCCTGAAGGAAGCAATGGCTTCATTTTAATTTCATTATATGATGGGGGATGTCCTTCTGTATATATGTTTCTATTATTGGTTGATGAATAAAACACTATGGCCAACAGAGTCAGGGAGAAAGGTGGGACTAGGAGAATTCTGGGAAAGGTGAGCAGAGAGATGCGATGTAGAGACCAGGAGGACAGGATGTGCCAGGCATTCTCTGGTAAGATAAAGCCATGTAGAAATACCTAGATTAGTAGTTATGGGTTAATAATTAAGACAAAGCTAGCCAATAAGAAGCCCTAGCCATCGGTCAACAGTTTTAAAATTAATATAGTATCCATGTGTTAATTTGGGGCTGAGAAGGGTGGTGAGTCCTGGTGGGACAAGAAATCTCCAGCCATTATAAACATTTTTTTAAAACAACTTTTATCACCGTGCCACAGATATAAAAAAAAAAAAAAACCCTACTTATTTGTGTATATAATATTGAATTGAGTTGGTGATCCATTTTTTTTAATCTCCCAAAGATGAAATACCTAAAGTAGTCAGAATTCCCTTCTTATTCTCATAGCTCTGTTTCTGTGCTGCCTACCTCCACCAAGGAGCATGCCAATTATCTAGACAGACTTCCATGAGTCAAAATATGGGTTCCCCATGTAGAATAATTTCTCTAAGAGGTCAGGAGCCTTGGTTTTTCTTCATAACATAAATTTCCTGCTGACCCTCCTCATATCTATCAAAACTTTATTTTCCTGTTTCAGGTGAAACCCTAAGATTTTAAGTGATCATCTGCTGTTGCATCATACCTAACTTCCACAGGTTATGAGGCTGGACATGTAGCTATGTTGGTAGAGTACATGGCTGGCATGGGCAAAACCCCATGTCCAATCTAGTACCACTATAACTAGGCACCCTGGTAAATAACAGAACTTGGTATATAACCAAGTTCTGTTATACACACACACACACACACACACACACACACACACACACACACACACACACAGGCCATGGGAGACCTTGAGATAGATAGATAGATAGATAGATAGATAGATGAAAAGAAAAATGATATAACTTCAATTATTCTAAATTTGACAAAATGGAAAGAATGTGTTAGTTTTAGGCTCAAGATCTTGGACTAAAGCTTAATAAGAAACACCATCCCATCTGTGAAACTTCCCTGAGACAAAACCTCATCTATAAAATAAACTACATTGAAAGGTTATGTGATAGAAAATGAGCCAATGAGCATAAAAGCAGTACCCCAAGTCAAAGGTAGTGTATAAATGGAAAAGATGTGAGTTACATTAAAAAAAATACTTTTAAACAAGTTTATTAGGATGCCCCCTCCCCCCACAAAGAAAACCCAAAGCCCACTTTGCACAGGTCTAAGGTGTAGAACCACCCATGAAATTGAAGCTATCATGCAGTCAGATCTTTATAAACATACCAATTGCTTCTACTATTTCATGAAATAGAAAAAAACAGCCTTCAGAGGAACAGCAGAGTAGAAATTTCCTGCACATCTTAGTTTCCCATATTTCATTCCCATTCATGTTGATCTTAGCCCACAGTGAATTTGGCTCAGAAAAGAGTCCCATGTGCTGCCAGCTGAGGCTGCAGAAATCTCTGCAGAAAGCCAAGTGCCTTCTAATAAAGAAGGGCCCTACATGTCATTAATTATGTTAAGTAAACACTATTCTGACTTAAGTGTTGTTGCAAACAGTATTCCCTTATAACTCCTTAGAAAAAGGCCCTGCCTGACCTCAGCTAAGAAAAGCATGACCAGGGGTAAATGTTGAACCAACCATAACAACATAGGGAAATGCATGCAGATTGAACCCTCAAAGGGTCTTCTGGATAACACATTAGTAATATTTCTGAAATGTATCAGTAGCTACAGGGCTTCCCTCCCCTTGACAACTATTGTGCAAGGAGAGGAAAGGGGCATTTGTTAGGCACCTCAATTAACTGTCCACTCAATCACACTTACAGGGTCTTCTTTCAGTCTCTCTGGCTAAGCTCCAATCAGGCAAAAAGCCAGGAGTGGGATCAAGCCACTTGCCCCTCTGAGGATCAGCTTAGCTGACAGAGTAGACTAAGTCAGCCAAGGGACATTAGTCTGTCAGAACATAAACCATGAAGGTCATTAACCTGAAGGAAACTGTAGATCAAATAGCACCACCTTTGAACACACATTTTGTATTGTGTCCCCATGACATCTCTAATAAGGAAGCATTATACTGTACTAGCATCTGTTGTTTCCATTCCAATAAGTAAGAATAGGTGTGTCTTTACCTCCTCAGGGTTTTTAGTCACGAATCACAAGGAATGGTCTCTATTAAGTCAACCTAGTTGGAAAAGACCTCTTGTCTCCATTACTGAAACCTCACACAGGAATACTGAGTTATCATTAGACATTCAGGCCTGAAGTAGCCATACCTGAATGCTATTCTGCTCACAGCCTTGGCAGTCCTCTCCCTGGAGGCTTTTTCAGAGGCAACTGCTTCATTCAGACAAGGTTCCTGAAGCCTGGTGAATGGGGTGGAGAAACACATGCTTTAGTCCAGGAAGTGATTTTATGAATCTAGGGCAGCTTGTGAGTTCTGTGGAATACCCACTATTGTGCAACCATGTTCCTCAGAGATTAAAGTGGACTCTGGGCAAGCATAGAGCCTGCAAATTTTCCAGTGAGAGTTTGCCAGAGATCTGATGCTAAAACAAAGGTCTAGCATGCTCGCTCTCCTAACACGGCTTTTCTTTCTTCAGCTAGTGTTTATTTGTTCTTGGAGGAACACATAATGCATTTGTGCAGGCAAAGAGACTAGATTAGTAAAATTAATTAGTAAAAAGTGAGACAAGATATTTGGGTATTGTCCAAGATCCAACACTCCTACTTCTTGGAGCCATGATGTATAATAATAATGAAATCTCACACCAGGGTTTAGAGGAAATATTTATTTTCCTATTAGACTGGTATTGAGTTTAGCTTCTTCAACTGTTTACTTTATTTTCCATTACTGCTGAACAACAAAGTAGGAGAAAGCATAAAAAGAGAAACACATGCTAAATGCTTGGGGCTACTCAATATTTTTTTAATCATGTTTTCCCCAAAGTGCTGAACATTACACACCACTACAGCTGTTACAGTTGTAAACAAACTTAAATGCAGGTAAGAGACTTGGACATAGCAAGCCTCAAATAATTTATGTATATATAAAAAACTTTAACTGTGGATATTGTCCAAAGATGAGTTTACTGTTTTGAGTAAGCAGTAATGTCAGCCTCCTGTTTTGAAAATAAAGACTTGTAAATAACTCTGTTTCTGTTATAGGAATGTAAACATCATTTATTTGACAGAAAACTTTGATTTATTTTTCTAAACTCTTTTGTATCCCATCAACTTGTTTTCTTTCTTGCAGAATGTTTATCTGGCCCAAGCTATCTGCGAATATTTTTCATCATATTCATAGTCACATTCTTGATTGGGTTGCTTAAAGTCCTTATCATTAGACAGGTGATACTACAATGGAATAGTAATAAGATAAAATCTTCATCAGATTACAGAATGTCTGCTTCTAAAAAGGTTAGTGAATTCAAAGTATAGCTGTCAGTATGTTACTGTCCTGGTCCAATACTCAGCTTCTTCACTAATGCTAATATTTTTTCTTCACCAAGGATAAACTGATTCTGCAAAGTGTTTGCACAAGAACTGTAACCTACAGAAGGGAAAAGCCTGAGGAAATAAAAATGGATATCAGCAAACTAAATGCTCATGAGACATTCAGGTGCAACTTCTAAAGAAAGATTTTTAAAAAATAACAATAACAAAACAACACTGTTGGAAACTGGATTCTTTTTTTTTTTACACAATTGCTCCAAAAAAAAAAAAAGTATAATATATAAGGTCACAGGAAGAGACAAGTTGTTTAAGATTGTGCCATGAAGACTGGCAAGTGTCTTCATAACCGTGTGACTCACACAGCTGCTGAACTTTTCAGAGAACTATGTGTCTTACTACTGTTGGATACTAGTGTTGTAGCACTTTACTGTAATATATAACTTATTTAGATCAGCGTAGAATGTAGATCATCTGGAAAGCACTGATTACACTTTACAGGTACCTGTCATCCCTGCACTTCCCACAGTGCTGTGAAACAGGTTGGCATGGTGTTGCTACCACTATACAGTGATTCTTGCACACAACCTACTGATGGAGAACATCCAGGAGTCACTGAAAGCAGTCAACCACATCAATTGGCATTGTCTTCATGTTCACAACCAACTGAATAATGGTTAGTATCTCACTTCAGCTGGAGGTGAATAGGTAAAACCTTAACCCTAAGACATGTTGCTTTTGAAACTGTGTGGTTTGGTGCATGTATGTTTCTGTTTTCTCCTCTTTTGCAAAATGAATATTGACTCCAACATCTTCTCTATTTTGCATTTATATTCTGTTTTTAATCTTCCTTCTGGAATAAGTTAATAATGTCATAGATGACTGGATTAAATAAGTGCTAAGTTACTACTGCCGTAGAAATCTATAGGACAATGTCACTTTATTAGAATACTGGTTTTTAAAAGCTGAATGTTAATAGGGGCCACTGTAAAGTGTCATCTAAGTCCACAGCTTCTCTGTTGGAAGAGAGAATTTTGTATTTTCTTACCTGTCAAACTGGATGTATTGTTTCACTCTCTCATTGATCTGACCTGTAGCCTGAAATCTACAAGGTGTCTACGAAACTGCTTCATGTGGAGTGAGTACCCTCTTTCCTGAGGATGCTGTCTTGATTTTCACTCCAAGTTGATGTCAACATTTTCCAAATGAAAAGCTGTACTATTTTTGTCCTTCTGTGCCATCTAAGGGCATTCTTTGACTCATCCCAGTCCTACCCATGAGAATCCACAAAGGCACAAAGTTGGGGAAGGTTGAGTAATATCTTGGAAATAAGCTAACACCCCCTTTTTGTTAGCCAGGAAACTGAGTCTAGGGAAATTTCAGTGATTTCACGAAAACACAGAAGCAGTGAAGTGGCAGTATTAGAGAAGATCTGCCATGTAATTACAGGCCAGCATTGCACAATAGCACACTACCTCTTCAATCTGCGAAATGTCCATGGCAAAACTTAAAATAGGATTTACTGAAATCCTGGGTGTATTTTCATGAGAAGATTTCAAAGCAAAGTAGAAAAGGGTACTCTAAACAAATTTGTGTGTAAGCAGCTTATTTTTCTCATTAGCCATCTTCTGATAAGTCTTTGGTGCAGCCCTTCCCTCCACACAGTGGCCTACAAGAACAAGCCTCCTGGGACTGTGCATGGCTCAACTTAAAGCCTTGATGTAGAGGCTTGGTACTTGAATTCTAACATGTTTTACCTGTGACAGCAGAGGAATCTAAAATAGTATCTCTCCCAAGTTTGCTTCTTCTTAGCACTTGAAAGTTCTAGATATTTGCATTTTTTTATGAAGAGTAACTTCCATTAGGTATTGCACCCTAAGGGCCTGGAAAGCCTATTTGTTATTCTCTAGCCAGCAAACATGACAAGTGATGCTGCTGACTTGAACTGTTTTTTCTTCTTCAATTGGGGAGGGCATTGCCAAAATATTGCATATCATGACGGTGTGTGTCAGAAAGTGTAGTCACTAAACCTGGTGTGAAAAATCATATTTTGCTGCCCATAACATACAGTATCCTTTTATAAATGTATAAATTAACAGATGCTTGGCAGTTCACACACACACACAAACACACACACACAAAAGTTGGAAGATATCCATTATTCAAATGCTGACAACTTCAAATTGAGCAGTGTTTATGAACAATAGATTATTTTCAGGTGTAATGAGCAAAACAACATTCTTAAAGGGAATCCTTGAAAAGCAAGGATTTATACTCTTTTAGGCCCTCATTAGTTTGCACTAATTTTAAGATGGAGCAAGGTTGTTGCCACAGGAAAGACAAACTTCCTTCCCAGGAATTCAGTGCCAGGTGATAATACCCACGTAACACATGGAATGTCTTGTGGTTTTTTTTTTTTTTTTTCTCTTCTTTTTTTGTTAACTTAAAGAACTAATTCTTAAAAGATTGTAGGGCTCATATTTTACTTGAATAATTGATGTTCTTCTGTTTAATAGTTTGTGAGAAGAAAATTAATATTTGACTAGATAGAATTAATTAATAGATAAGGGGAAACAGGGTATTCTCAGATTACATAATTTATGTATTTAGAGACTATTTTCAAATTCTATGACCGCAAGAGTCTTTTGAGAGTTGATGATAGTAAATGCAATTAATAGAACTTTAAATCGCTAGCAAAAATTAATACCTTGAATGATATTTTTGGCATGGCAGCATTTTGTGCCCTGATGTGTAATTATTCAGAAATGTTCCATACATCCACTACATATACAAGTTGTTTCTTCTAAGACATTTTTACACTGCAGTATACATGTATTTATAGACATTTGATGATTTTTAGATATTTTCTACTATTTATTAAGCCATAGACATTCTCTAAAGACTTAAAGAGTCACTAAAAATCTAATTATGTTCCAAATGTTCAATTTAACTGAGTTTATAAAAATAACAGAAAATAGATATCTCTAGAGGCAAATTTTCCAAAACTCAAAAAGTTAAAATTGTGTATACATCAGATGCAAAACTCCACCAAAGAATAAATTTCAAATATTTTATTTACTTAATCTCCATTAACTATATTATTGTATATATCAACAGACATCCACGAGACACTGAAATCATTTATTATTGACAGATTATGAATATCTTTCTCTATAGAATTATATTTGTCCTGTTACTTGGTAGAATAGATTATACTCAATGGCTTTTCCTCCTTTCCTGGCTCCTGATTGTCCCATTCTCTAGAAACTGGTCATAAGCTTCAAGCCAATAAGCCAAGTTGTGAAAAATAACTGTTTAGTAATTAAGTTCTTTATTTCCAAAGACCTATTAATTTTAACCCTCATTTGGACAAAGGCAGCTGATAAAAAAAAAACAAAGAATTTTAAATTTTCACAACTAGTGATTTGTGTTCTTTTAAAGGTAGCAACTCACTAGGAAGTTCAACCGTATGAATATTGTATCCTCTTTGTTTACTCTTGATACGTAGTCTTCAGCTATCCTTATGTGCTCACAAACATTAAAACGTCATTTCATTTCATGTGATGCAAACATTTTCAAAGATATCTAGAACTAATGATCCTTAAAATCCTTCTCTTTTCATATTCCATAATCCCTACATGGCAAATTAGTTATGATAACTGACTGAACATACCAACTGTGTGTCTAGCTGATTCTAGGACACACACTTTTTCAATTTAACATCTCCAAAATTGTTATGTCTCTTGAAACTGTCATGTGCAACGCAGTGTTTAAAGTTGTGTCGGAATAAACACTACACTACTTCAACTTAATTAAATATTCAGCGGTACAGACAAGGATATTCCTTTCATTATACGTGTTTATGAATTCAAACATGTAAAGCCGTTTACAATACAACTGAACCACCTACCACTCAAGGCAGGCCACACTGGCTATCAGCCCAGATCATTGAACCTCCAAGTTACAAAAGCTCTTTTAGGCTCCCATTTATGCATTATAATAATAGCAGTGACTTAGGCAATCCTAAGTTAACTAATGAAATACAGAGGTTTCTCAACCTTTCATTTAAGTATCTTTAGACTTTTCAATTCTTTGAAGGGATTGTTTGAAATCATCTCACTTTTAAATAAGTTAACTGGAAACATCATCGTTTTCACAGCAATTTGTATACTTGATATCAGCTGCAAGAGAATAAATGATGCAACTAATCGGTCTCGTGGAAAAGATTTCCTCTCGAGTCCCCCAACTGTCTTATTTTTCTTTATCCTTTCTGTTCTTTTGATGTTTTTCTTTGGCTTTAGTAACTTTCCTCTCTAGCCCCTGTAATGACTGTTATAAAACTGCATAGCCAAAATATAGTACTTATGTGAAACAATTGTCAACCCGGCAGCTTTTGATCAAATATGTGAGAGAAATAACACTATCCTGTGTCTACCTGCACAAAATGTATCCTTGTAAGCGAACTCTTTCAACCAGGTGTCTATATTTCTTCACAACCAATTTCAGTACAATTGTCTAACACATCAGCATAAAAGAAAAAAGAAACTGCAATCATCAAGGATGGAAATCATGTGATTTGTGTAAAGAACTTTTACTGACTTTACACAGACAAATGTGATTTTGATAGCAAGTCTGAACAATGACAGCTATGGTACATAGATTTTTTTTTATTAAAATATTGAGTAAAATTATTTTCATTCTAAAATTATAAGAAAGTATAAATTTGCACATATTAATATAGAAGTTCATGTTGTGTATTTTAACATACCTTTAAAGCTATTTTACATGTGCTAGCTACTTTATTAAGGTTTGTAAATCTTGGCAAAAATAATGAGACATGTTTTTAAATTATCAATAACATAATCTTTGTTTCACTTAACAAATACTGCCTTTGTAAAAAGAAATTTAATATAGAATGTATTTTTAAATCAAAATATTTGAATATAAAATAGCTCAAAGAAAAAACAAATTCTTCATGAACACATTTTGTGCTGTTTCTGGCTTTGAATTATATGGAAGGTGAAATCGCCTTAAATGATACAAAAGACTGATAAACATGGCAATTTTGTGTACTATACTATGAATTTCTTCACATAACTGGTTGACTACTAACTTCTCTTTTATGTATTTATTAAAAGCTGACACTGTAGATTGTTGTGAGATGTTTATTTTTCTAACAGAGCTTATAACAGTTGTGACAAGGAATTTAATTGATAAACCAGTCTGTTTAAATGTAGGTGTTAATCGATATACTTTTTTTATGTTTTAAAATAAAGTTGTAAAGCTCTAATAAAATCATAAAGAATATATAAAATTGTACTTCATTTTCCATGTGCTTAACAACCCTCTAAGCCTCGGGAAACACCACTGACAAGGGAGAAATTGTGGCAATAGTCACATACTGTCACTGACAGAGGACACTGAATAATTTTTAAAAGCTACTGTTTTTAGGCTATGAGGATCACTGAGGAGTGGTGCCTAACGATGGAAACAGAAGGAATGTCCTAATGACAG